GGGCTGGGAAAGTTCGGTTGGCGCTTCCGGCACCATAAACGCAGTGCGGGAGGTAAATGCACACCTTACCGGTGAAGATCTGATCAGCAGCAAAGGGCTGGCCGAAATCAGAAGCAAACTTATCAGTGCTGGCAACCTCAGTGAGTTGAATCTTGCCGGCCTTGCTGACGAACGCAAGGCGGTATTCCCTGGCGGCGTAGCTATATTGTCAGCAATATTCGAGGCGCTGCAGATTGAGAACATGATGGCCGCCCAGAGCGCCCTGCGCGAAGGCCTGATTTACGATCTGCTGGGTCGGCAGCAGGAAGACGATGCACGCGAGCATACCGTTGCCAATTTAACCCGGCGCTATCGTATCGATGAGGTCCACGCCCGACAGGTGCGCGAAACTGCACTGAGCCTGTTGTCTCAAGTTGCGATGGTGTGGGACCTCACCAACCCTGAACACAAGTTAATTCTCGGCTGGGCAGCCAGTCTGCACGAAATTGGCATGGACATCTCTCACTCGGGCTACCACAAACACGGCGGTTACCTGCTGGAGAATATGGATCTGCCTGGTTTTTCACGCGCAGAACAGAAGTTGCTTGCCATCATGGTTCGTGCACACCGGCGAAAAATGCCAATAGACCTGTTTCCGGCAGATGCACCTTCACAAATCCGTTTAAGTGTCCTGTTGCGCATTGCCGCGGTTCTGCATCGGGGCCGCAGCCACACACCTTTACCGCATGTCGATGTGCAGGCGAAAAACAAACAGCTCAAGCTGTCGCTGCCGCAGGACTATCTGGACACCCACCCGCTGACCGCTGAAGACCTTGCCAACGAAGCCAATTACATCAAAGCGGCAGGGGTTGAGCTGGTATTAGTGGACCACTAACCACCCGGCTCCCGTCTAAGCCTCACTCCGCCAGCTGCGCGAGCAGAATCTCCTGCGCGGCACGCCGATTCTGCTTCGATTTTTTCTGCGTATACGAGCCATCGGAGTTGAGATCCCAGCTCTGCGCATTGTCATTCAGATAAAGTTCAATGGTTTCGTGAAATACCCGCTCTTTCAGTTTTTTATCTTCTATCGGGAAACAGGTTTCGACACGAGAGAAAAAATTTCGCCCCATCCAGTCTGCGCTGGAGAGATACACCAATCTGTTGCCGCCATTGTCGAAACAGAAGACACGGGTGTGTTCAAGAAAACGACCGATAATCGATCGCACCCTGATGTTCTCTGACACGCCCGGAATACCAGGGCGTAACGCACAAAGACCCCGCACGAGCAGTTCGATCCTCACACCCGCCTGGGAGGCTTCATACAGGGCCTGGATAACTGCCGGCTCTACTAACGAGTTCATTTTGGCGTAAATGCCGGCTGGTTTACCGGCCTTGGCATTTTTAGCTTCTGCATGTATCAGATCAATCATGGTTGAATGCAGAGTAAACGGCGCCTGCAGAATTTTCTTTAACTTGCCGGCCTTACCCATTGCGGTCAACTGTGCAAACACCTTCTGCACATCTTCACCCAGTTCAGCATCACAGGAAAACAACCCGTAGTCCGTGTACAGGCGCGTGGTACGAATGTGATAGTTGCCAGTACCAAGGTGCACATAACGCAACAGAGATTTACCTTCGCGACGAATCACCATACACATCTTGGCATGTGTCTTGTGACCCACGACGCCATAGACAACCTGTGCACCCACCGACTGCAGCTTGTTGGCGAGCTCAATATTTGCTTCTTCATCAAAGCGCGCGCGCAATTCAATCACTACCAGCACTTCTTTACCGCGGGTTGCCGCATCTACCAACGCTTCGACAACCGCTGATTCGGTACCCGTGCGATAGAGCGTCTGACGGATAGACAGCACTTTCGGATCCCGTGCAGCCTGGCGCAAAAAGTCAACAAAAGGGGCAAACGACTCAAACGGATGATGCAGCAGAATTTCTCCGGCTCTAATGGCATCAAACATCGCGTCTGCGTTGCGAATACGGTCGGGAATCGAAGGTGTAAACCCCGGGTATTTCAGATCAGGTCTCTCAACCAGATCAGGCAACGCAGCCAGGCGCATGAGGTTAACCGGGCCTTCACAGCGATAAACCAGATCGCGATCAAGATTGAACTGCGCCGCAAGAAACGCGGTCAATTCCTCCGGGCAATGTTCTGATACTTCCAGACGCACGGCGTCGCCATAACGACGCGAAGACAGCTCACCTTCCAGAGCACGCAGCAGATCGTCGATCTCTTCTTCGTCTACAAACAGATCACTGTTGCGGGTCACGCGAAACGCATAACAGCCCGTAGCACGCATTCCCGGAAACAGTTGTGAGATGTGTGCATCCACAATAGACGACAACAGAACAAATTCGTTGCCGGATGTTGCCGAGGCTTCATCAAGTCGCACAATACGCGGCAGCGATCTGGGTGCCTGCACAATCGCTTTACCGCTGTTACGCCCAAAGGCATCTTTGCCTTCCAGGGTGACAATAAATGCCAGGCTCTTGTTCAGCGGTTCCGGAAAGGGGTGCGATGGGTCCAGACCGACCGGTGAGATGATCGGCGCCAGTTCCCGTGAGAAATAGCGTTTTAACCAGGCCTGCTGTTTCGAGTTCCAGTCATCCCGTTTGAGAATACGAATGCCCTGCATATCGAGTTTCGGCAGCAGCACGTCATTAAGCACCGCATACTGGTGGCTGAGCAGTTCCTGCACCACCGGTCCAATGAGACGCAGCTGATCTGCAGCGGAAAGGTTGTCCGGCCCACGTTGGGTGCTGCCGTATGCTTCCTGCTGCTTCAGCCCAGCAATGCGGATTTCGAAAAACTCATCCAGCACTGAACTGGCGATACATACAAAGCGCAGGCGCTCCAGCAGCGGGACACTTTCGTCTTCCGCCTGCGCCACCACACGACGCATGAATTCGAGCTGCGACAATTCGCGATTGATATACAGGTCTGGATTGGCAAGGTTTACGGTATTCACTGTGATCACTATTTTACTTCGGACAAATGTTAGCATGCGCGCCAGAACAAATTGTGACAGGTGCGTGATCACAGTAGCAATCAGAGCATCACGTACCAATTACTCGAGGGCTAACCAGTGCGCGATGAAGTGTTCCGCCGGAACCAGGGTCAAATTGTAGATTTTGCGTTTACCGAAGAAGTAACCGCCGTTTTTCCGGATATGATCCGTCGCTCTGTCATGGGCTACGAAACCATGGTGCCGGTGACCGGTCTTGCTGCCGCTCGCCACCTGGGCGATTCCGGGCTGGCATTCGATCTGGGTTGTTCGCTGGGCGCCACTAGCCTTGCGATTCTGCAGCAGAACAACAGTGCTGATATCCGTGTCTGCGGTATCGACAGTTCAGTATCGATGATTGAAGGTGCACAACAGGCGATTACTGACCCCAGAGCAGAGTTTCGCCTGCAGGACATACGCGACACAGACGTCAGTGGCGCAGACGTTGTGGTACTTAATCTGGTGTTGCAGTTTCTCGAACCAGAAGAACGACTGCCTTTGTTACGCAATATCCTGGCGCAGATGCAGACCACCGGCCTGTTGATCGTGTCAGAAAAAGTCCGCCACGATGACCCCGCCGAACACACTTACTTTGACGAGCTTCATCTGGCCTGGAAGAAGGCCAACGGCTACTCTGAACTGGAAATTGCACAGAAAAGGTCGGCGCTGGAAAACGTGATGAAAATCGACACCGAAGCCAATCACGAGAAACGTTTCCGGGCTGCAGGCTTCACCCAGATCCGACAATGGTACCGCTGTATGAACTGGGCCTCGTTTTTTGTCCAGCGTTGACTCCAACATGGACTTGCTGAAAAACCTGCCCACAGATTTACCTGACTGGCCGCTACAGCAAGCACTCGCTCGCTTCAGTGACCAACATCATGGTGATTTCAACAAGTGGTCAACGGCACTGAAGCAACTACCGTACCTGCAGAACCTATCCGTTGATCTGACTCACGGAGTGGTTGTTGAAGGTGAGGTAGATCGTCAGGCGCTCACGGATGCGCTGCAGCAGTTCCATCCCTGGCGCAAGGGACCCTTCTCGATCGCAGGGGTTTTTATCGACACCGAATGGCGCTCGGATCTGAAATGGCAGCGCCTGACCGAAGCACTGGGTGACCTGTCAGGCCAACGTGTGCTGGATATCGGCTGCGGTAACGGCTATTTCGGCTGGCGTCTGCTGGGGCAAGGCGCCCGGGAAGTGATTGGCATAGACCCAACTCTTTTATTCTGCATGCAGCATCTGGCGATAGAAAAGTACGTGCAGCGCCCTGGCAACTGGGTATTACCTCTGGGCATCGAAGAAATTCCGAGCACCACACAGTTCGACCTGGTGCTGAGCATGGGTGTGATCTACCATCGCCGCGATCCCCAAGCGCACATCGAGCAACTCGCAGCGCTCACCAGGCCTGGCGGACATGCCATTGTTGAATCTATTGTGGTTGAGGGGGCAGAGGCTCTGATACCACCTGGTCGATATGCGCGCATGCGCAACGTCTGGTGTGTACCAAGGACTGACGACCTTTGTGAATGGATGGATCAGGCCGGGTTTGTCGACATCAAGGTAGTAGATATCAGCCCGACAACAACACAGGAGCAACGCAGCACCCAGTGGATGCGTTTCGAATCGCTTGCAGAAACCTTAGACCCTGAAAATGCACAGCTCACCGTAGAGCAGCATCCCGCACCGATTCGCGCCATCGTTATGGGTAAAACGCCTTAACTCAGGAGCCACCGCGCCGCCGGGACTAACCCCGATACTGTGCTGACGCTATAAACTCACCAAACGCTTCGCACCAGACCACTACTGTGTTGTAGCGCGTCAGATCTATGTCATTCGGCAAGTCGATAATAAATCCGTCAAAGGTTTTCACCTCACCGATCAGCATTACGGCAGGCGGTGTTTGTGGGGCCGTGAGTATCTTTTCTGCAAGCAGGACAGACTATGCTTCTGCAGCCAGAAGCGTTAGCGTATCCACATCAGAACTTAAGCTCAAAATCATGTTTGGCATCATCCCATTTAACTTCAGATTCCGCGGCAAGGTACGTCGGATCCTTGACATTTACTTCTGTTTTATCGAAGAAGGCAACGTCGCCCTGCACCCTACACAGATCGCGCGCAAAACCGGTATCAGTTTTGCTGAAGTCGCTCGACGCCTGGATGCCACCCCGGAGCTGTTCGTTAAACTGCCCAAACGCGACGGCATCACACGCTACCGCATCACCACCAGCGCATCGACCCGCACTGAAGAAGAAACCGAAAAGTTACTCAACAAGTATGCCCAGCGTGAATCCTGGCTGTTTTATGCTTTTGGCTTGATGGTGCTCGCCATGCTGGTGATTATTGTGCTGACCATCATCCCCAACGTCTGAACACCAATACCCGTTAAGGAATTCATGTGCCTGAATCGCTCAACCCAGAACATCAGCAGTTGGCCGATACCTGCGCCGAGTTTGCTCAGCAGGTTCTATTAGCCAAGGCTGCCGATGATCCCGCTCGGGCTCGTGCTGATATACGTAGCGCATCCAAAGCCGCCGGCCTGTTCGCAATGACTCAGCCCAAAGCTTTTGGCGGCCAGGCGGCTGGTCAGCTTGCGTTATGTGTTGCACGGGAGACGCTGGCGAGTTTTAACCCACCGTTTATGGACGCCGTGTTTGGACCCAGTCCCGGCGTCCTGGCACAGGTAGAAGAACCCTTGCGCAGCACTCATCTGGCGCCGTTACTGGCAGGTGAAAAGCGGGGCAGCTTTGGCTTCACCGAAGCAGACGATGCACCAGCACCGACCAGCGGCGTGATCGAAGGTTCAAACCTGCAGATCAACGGCCAGAAATCTTATGTGACCGGCGGTGCCGAGGCGGACTTCATTAACACTCTGGTACACATCGCGGGTCGCGGGCCCTCGATGGTTGTGATCGATCGCGCAACTGAAGGCGTGATCATCGATAAAAAATTCGTCTCTCTGGATGGCTCCCACCACGCAATTATCACCTTTAAAGATGTCAGCGTGCCGGTGACACACATCATCGGCGAAGCCGGTAAAGGCATGCCGCGTGCCATGCGACAGATCGGCGACACCCGCCTGCTGTTTGCAGCGCAGGCCTGTGGCTACATGATATGGGTTGTAAATCTGCTGACCGAACACCTGCAGGCTCCTGACAAGAGTGGTAACCCGCGCGGCAATCTTGACGTCATTCGACTGCGTTATGCTGACCTGCGCATTAAAACCTACGCCGCGCGCAGCATGCTTTATCGTACCGCGCGCCTGGCTGACCAGGGCGAAAATATTGTCAACGAAGCCATGGCCTGCAAAATTTTTGCAACCGAAGCGGTTGGTGAGTTAGTCGATACGGCGATTCAACTTGTCGGCGGCAGCGCCTTGGTGGAAGATCATGCACTGGCTATTCTCTACCGAAAGGTACGTGCATGGCGACTGGCCGAAGGGGCCAGTGATGTCTTACGCTTGAACATCGGCAGAGGCATTCTTGAGCTCGGTAAAGGACGCCTGTAAGCCAGCTTTTTTTCTTCTTTGTGGAGATCGGAACATGCGAGTTTTTTTACTGACAGGCACCATACTCTTGGCAGGCTGCACTTTTGTCCAGCTCAGTGACGCAGGTGCGGGTGTTGCCCAGCTCGGCAGCGGCGACGTTGCAAACTGTGAATCGAAGGGCGTTGTCAGCACTCAGACCCGGGCAAAAGTTGTTATCTCACGCAGCGAGGAAGCGGTGCGCGAAGAACTCACCGTCATGGCCCGCAACGAAGCGGCCAAACTGGGTGCCAATGCCATTGTGCCGATTGCACAGCCAGAAGACGGCGCTCAGAGTTTTCGCGCATTTCTGTGTAACTGATCGGCCAGAACAGCTGCACTAAAGGTCTTCATCACTCTTGAAGCCATGCTGCTCGCGCGTTAATTCCCGGCTTGCTGGTGACTTCCGCACCATGACGTAGACAGCGCCCACGCCACCATGACGACGTATGGCGGAACTGAACGCAATCACCTCTGGATGGTGTTGCAGCCAGTGGTTAACATAGCTTTTTAATCTGCCCGGCGTCTTACTCAGCTCACCTTTACCTGGCGATATCAGCAGGTTGCGCCAGTCTTTAGCTTGCGCCAGGCGCAAAAAGTTAAATACCAGGGTACGTGCTTCTTTGACCGTTTTGCGGTGCAGATCAAGCTGCGCCTGATGTTCATAGCCGCCGCGTTTGAGCCGATCGAACACTGCGTTCTGCACACCCACCTGCTTCCATTCAAGCACCGCATGCGGGTCAACAATTTCAACATCTCCCAGAGTCAGGAAATTGGGGTCCGCCAGATCACTGTTTAACCCCAACGCAGCCTCACGACGTTGCAGTTGGGCCGGGGTGACCTGTGCGGAAGGCTTTAACGTTTGCACACGGCCTTTTTCAATACGCGCAACATCAGCCATTTCCTGGGCAAATAAATCACTGTCATCAGCATCGTCGTCCACAGCCATACACCTTCAGCGTCCGATTTCTGTTTCGATGTCCGTTGCACAAGAGACCGGAATACTCGGAAACTCAGCCGACCGGGTACCCGGGATCGGCAGATTATCTTGCCGATGATAAGTAAATACGGGTGACAATTTCACGTGGTCCAGATTGTTACGCCCGGCTGCGTGAAATAATCGACAGTGGAACAGCAAAACATCCCCGGCGGTGAGCACCACACTCTGAGCGGCTTCAATTAAGGCGGCATTTTCAGGTAGTTCCGGCCGCAGGAACAGGGCACGGTCAAGCCGGCCACGATCGAACGACATTGTATGTGTGCCAGGAATGACCTGTAGCGCCCCGTTTTCCGGAGTTTCGTCACCCAGCGCAAACCATGCAGAGATGAGTTCAGGCCGATCAAAGGACCAGTAGCGGATATCCTGATGCCACAACGTTGCACTGCTGTAGCCGGGATGTTTGGTCATGACACAGTTATGATGGCATTGCGACAGCATTGCCGGCCCGTCCAGCAACTTGTTGAGTTCCGCCGCGACAGCGGGATGGCATGCCAACTCCCGGAATCGTGCATGACGTGCATAAGCGTGTAACAGACGCCGCGGCGTGTTGCCACCGACATCATCGAGACTGGATGGCGCACCGGGATAACCGACCTCCGCTTCAAATTCGGCGGGTCCCACCAGTGGGTCCAGTGATTCATGTACCAGCTGACTGACGGCTTCGACCAGAGTTTTACTGATGACACCGCGCAGCACCACATAGCCCTGGCGCGCAAAGGCGGCGGAACCATATTCAACACCCTGGGTTTCCATACTGCTCACCCGCTGCTTATCTTTTACGCTTCAGCGCATCTGCTGACGAATTGTCTTCAACAGCTTTTCACCATAAGGCGGCCGTAAGCCGGCAAATTCGGCAACATTCACCTTAGTCTGCTTGAAGATCGATTTGGCATGGCTGAAGGTCTTGAAGCCATCAAAGCCATGATAGGCACCCATGCCGGATGGGCCCACCCCACCAAACGGTAAGTCTTCCTGAGCCACGTGCATGATCACATCGTTCACCGTCACACCGCCGGAGGTTGTTCGAGTGAGCACTTCACGTTCTTCGCCTTGATCGTCACCAAAATAGTACAAACCCAGCGGGCGAGGATGATTGTTGATGTAGGAAATGGTGCTGTCTACTGAGTCATATGACTTGACAGGCATTAGCGGGCCGAAAATCTCTTCGTTCATGACATCAAGAGACTCATCGGGGTCGATAATCAGGGTCGGCGGTATCTTGTGATGGGGTTGTTGTCGAAAATCCTCACCCGCCGGGTTGATTTCAATCACCTCTGCACCTTGTTCTCTGGCCTGCGCAACATATCCGTTCAAACGGTCAAAATGTCGCTCGTTAACCACCGAGGTGTAGTCCGGGTTATCCAGCAACGTAGGAAACATTTTTGCAACCGCCTTCTCGCTTGCTGCCACAAAGTCGCGCATCCGCTCAGTGGGCACAAACACGTAATCCGGTGCCAGACAGATCTGCCCGGCATTGAGCATTTTACCCGCCATAATGGCATCTGCAGTTTTATCCATATCCGCGCTGCGACTGACCACCACTGGTGACTTGCCACCCAGTTCCAACGTGACCGGCACCAGATTTTCTGAGGCTGCCCGCATAACATGTTTGGCCACACTGGTGGCACCCGTAAATAACAGGTGATCAAACGGCAAAGAGGAAAAATCGGCGCCAGTTTGAGGGCCGCCGTTGATGACACAGATTTCTTCAGCGGCAAACTCAGATGCAAAGGCCTGCGCCATCACTTCCGAGGTTGCCGGCGTGTATTCACTGGGTTTGATCATGCAGCGGTTGCCTGCACTTAAAATACCCGCCAAGGGGGTAAAGGTCAGATTAACAGGAAAGTTCCACGGGCTGATAACGCCGACAACACCCAGAGGCTGATATTCAATATGCGCTTTTGCACCCAGCAGATTGAGCGGAAAAGGTCCGGCTTTACGCTTCTCAGGTCGACTCCACTTCGCCACGTTGGCGATGGCATGCCGCAGCGGTCCAACAGAACTGGCAATGTCGGTAAAAAGTGATTGATGTTCACTGCGATGACCAAAATCTGCGGACATGGCTTCAACAAACTGCTTCTCATAATTCTTCAGCACCCCGATCGCCCGCTCGAGGCGATCGATTCGCGTAGCCGTGCTGACGACACCTTCCGCCAGGTAAGCCTCGCGTTGGCGTTCGAGCAGATTTTTCATCTCGCTTTGACTGGTTTCCTGCATGGTAGACGTCCTTATAGCACGGTGACTGAGTTGCCTATTTTCCCGCTTCCGAGCCAGTAAAGTCTAGCGCTGCCGGCAGGCTGCGAAAACTCAGGCAGAAACCGCTGTGCGACCTAGACTTTAGGCATGCCTGTGTTATCGCCCGACATTACTAAACGCAGTTTATGGCTGCTTTTACTGCTGATTAGCGCCAACAGCTATGCCCGAGTGGAGATGGACAATTCCCTGCATCAGATCGATATCACACACGCCTGGCAATATCAGCTCAGTCAAAATTTTGACATCACCGTACCGCCGCGACAGGGTTATCTGCCGGTAGATCCACGGCCGGAGACATTCAGCCAATACGATCGTGCCTACTGGTTGCATGTCGAACTGACCAATACATCCGCCAGTGTACTGACGCGGTGGCTGGAAGTAGAAAATCACCGAATCAGGCACGCACGGCTGCTGACCTTCGAAAACGACGTATTTGTCAGTCAGCAGGACGCCGGACTGAGTATTCCACGCAGCCCGGGGAGCGCACCGACCAACCACCCGATTTTTGAGGTTGATCTGCCCCCGGATAAGCGCGTGGATTTATATCTCCACATCAGCACGCGAGACACTCTGGTGTGGAAAAGCACACTCTGGGATCCGCTGGCGTTCACGGGTCATCTGACCGATCAACGCGCGATTCTGACGTTGTTACTGGGCGTCATCGCGGCGCTCGCAATTTATAACCTGGTTGTCGCAGTTGTGACCAGGCAGCGGCTGTATCTACACCTGAGCGCCTTTCTGTCTGCTTTGCTGGGCCTGCAGATCACTTTGCAGGGATTGGGGTCTGTCTACATCTGGGCAAAGTATCCAGGGTTCGACATCTACGTTTTTGGGCCCGCCATCATGCTGTTTGGGCTGGCGCTGGTCATATTCAGCCAGGCGTTCCTGCGCGCCGATGACGACCCTTTTCAGCGCCGTGTCCGCAAGGCGACAATTTTATATACGCTGGTCTTTATCCTCCCCGTCAGTTTGGCAAATGACGGCCGGGTTATTGCCGCAGCTGGGTTCCTGTACGCGCTGCCCCTGGCTGTGCTTGGCGCCCGGGCGGTACGGCAGACGTTGCAGGGGATTCGAGTGGCAAGAGATTACGTGCTTGTGTTCAGCCCCTTGATCGTGCTGATCGCAACCCTGCTCACCAACCGGGTACTCGGCCTGGGCTGGAACAGCGAACTCACATCAATGCTGTTACTACTGTGCAGTGTGCTGGTGGCGATGAGTCTGGCGGTCGCTCTGGCTTACCATATACGGGAGCTGACCGAAGACCAGCTCAGCGCAGAACAGGCCACCGTGCTGGCCCGGATCGAAGCAGCCCAGTCTTCCATGAAAGCCGCAGTAGCTGAATCAGCCGCGAATGCAAAAACCGCCTTTCTTGCCACCATGAGCCACGAAATACGCACACCTATGAACGGCGTGCTGGGAATGGCAGATCTGCTAAAAAAAACGCCTTTAAACAGCCAACAGTCTACCTATGTTGAAACCTTAAGGCGCTGCGGCCAGACGCTGATGAACATACTCAACGACATTCTGGATTTCTCTAAGGTTGAAGCAGGTCATATGACGTTGGAAAAAATCGATGTTGACCTGCTTCAGTTACTGGATGATTTAGTGATTCTGCATCGAGATCAGGTCATTCGACGAGGCCTGTCATTGTATGTGGACTTCGCTGCGGACGTGCCGCCGCATGTTCTGGCAGATCCGACCCGCTTACAGCAGGTGCTGTCAAACCTTCTTAACAACGCCATAAAATTCACAGACAGCGGCAGAATTTTCATCAGAATAGACAGGTTCAAGGAGCCCAATTTGCTGGTGCCGCAGCTGAAATTTCAGGTCATTGATGAGGGCATAGGTATGGACACCGTTGCGATGGACAGCCTGTTCAGCGCCTTTGCTCAAGCAGATTCATCCATCTCAAGACGTTTTGGCGGTACCGGCCTGGGTCTGGCCATCAGCAAGCGCCTGGTTGAACTGATGGGTGGGCATATCAATGCACACAGCCAACCGGGGAAAGGCACCAACATGACATTCACCATTGATGCACCGTCGGTTAACATCGAACACGTTGGACATAACCCGCTGCACCTGGGGTACATCGGCCACGATCACCACCTGGCTGAGTCGCTGCGCCTGTTTGCACAACATCGCCGGTTAAAGTTCACCCGTTTCGAACAGCACCAGATTGAGCATATCGGCCCTACCCTGCAGCTGATCGTGGATTTCGATCAGAGCGCCTTAGCGGTCGTCAACAGACAGTTCATTATCGGCAAAGACCTTCACCTGCCGCTGGTGTTTACAGAGCTGTTAACACTTATGGGTGCCTCTCAGGAAAGGACACCTGCGTTCCCGGCGGATTTGCAGCCCCTTAAAAATGTGCAGGCATTGCTGGCAGAAGACAATAAGGTCAACCGATTGGTCGCGAGCAAGCTTCTCGAACACCTTGGCGCAACCGTACACTACGCCAATAACGGCCAGGAGGCGGTTGCTCGCTTTGATGCCCTACATGACAAACTGGACATCATTCTGATGGATTGCGAAATGCCTGTGATGGACGGATATACGGCTACAAAGACCATTCGCAACCGTGATGGCATACACAGCACAATCCCGATTATCGCGCTAACCGCCCATGCTCTGGATGAGTATCGCAACAGAGCAGTAGAAGCAGGTATGGACGATTACATCACCAAACCCATCAACCCACAGACGTTGGTTGATGCAATTAAACGATGTTGCCCTGCAGCAAATCCTGACTCACCACCTGATTCACAAGAGGCTCCCCGTTAACCGTCACCTCCAGGGCGCCGGTGCTTCTCCAGAAGCGCGCTTCGATGTAATGGTGCTCTTCCCATTCCAATTCCACATTTGTCCATACATATTGCGGTTCTTTACCAGACCAGTCTCGGCGTTTTCGCAGACAGTCATCCAGGTAAAGCTCCAGACCACCGTCTTCTGTCAGGTGTATGGCCAGAGATTTGTGTCGATGATTAAAAGGTATAACGTGAGGCACAGGCACTCCAACTCAGGTAAGCGCCTATTCTAGCAGTCATTTAACACTCGGAAAGGCTGCCTTCGTTACGGTAAGCTGAGCCAAACAAGAAGCGGACATTCCATGGAAGACAAGGCCGACTTTGCAAAGGTCTTACGCAGCAGAGATGTACTGGCGTTATCATTTGGCGCCATGATCGGCTGGAGCTGGGTCCTGCTAACGGGTATCTGGCTAACCGATGCGGGTACCCTCGGAACTCTGATTGCATTTGCTGTAGGGGGCCTGGCCATCACCCTGATTGGCCTCACCTACAGTGAGTTGGCCGCTGCCATGCCAAAAGCTGGCGGCGAACATGTCTATACTCATCGTGCGCTCGGACCGAAGTGGAGTTTTGTCTGCACCTGGGCACTCCTGTTTTCCTACCTCAATGTGTGCATGTATGAATCCGTCGCCCTGCCAACCGCCGTTGAGTATCTTCTACCACAAATCCGCGTTGGCACCTTATGGAATGTGTTGGGCGCAGATGTTGATCTGGGTTTTGTGCTGATCGGCAGCCTGGGTGCTTTTATGATGTCGCTGATCAACTACTTCGGCATTCGAACAGCCGCTTTTCTGCAGAGCCTGGTCACGGGTCTGATTCTATTCGCCGGCGTGTTGTTGATCAGCGGCGCAGCCTTCAACGGCGATGCAGGCAACGCAACACCCTGGATAGCAACTCCAATGACCGGCATCCTTGCCGTATTGATTATGGTGCCAGCAATGCTTGTCGGCTTTGATGTCATTCCCCAGTCCGCCGAAGAGATTGATCTGCCACCTAACAAAATAGGTCGGCTGCTGGTGATCTCAGTGTGCATGGCAGTTACCTGGTATGTGCTGATCACAGCAGCGGTGGGTTTTGCGATTCCAGCAAGCGCGCTGGGCACCAGTCAGATGGCTACAGCAGATGCCGCTACCCGACTATGGGGAACACCGATTGCCGGTACCATCCTGGTTCTGGGCGGCATTGGCGGTATCCTGACCAGTTGGAATGCATTTATTGTTGGCGCCTCGCGCGTACTCTATGCGCTGGCCAGATCAGGCTTTCTCCCCGCCGCTTTTGCACGCCTGCACCCGAAGTACAAAACACCGTACGTGGGGATTATTGCCATCGGTGTCGTATCTATGATTGCACCATTATTCGGCAGAACCATTCTTGTCTGGCTGGTGAACAGCGGCAGTTTTGCTGTCACCATCGCCTTTCTATTTGTTGCCCTGTCTTTTCTGGTCTTGCGTCGCACCGAGCCTGACATGGAAAGACCCTTCCGCATCAGTCACCCTAACCTGGTTGGTTATGGCGCTATCCTCCTGACACTAGGGCTCCTCAGCGCATTCCTGCCATGGAGCGACAGCGCGCTGGCATGGCCAAATGAATGGCTGACAATCATTGTCTGGACGGTGCTGGGTGCTCTAATTCTGTGGCGCAGCAAGCAGTAGCACTCACGCAGGAAAAAGCTTACGCAGATGCGCCTGGGGCAGAGGCTGTGTCAGTTTAGATACGATCACGGTCACCAATACCGACACAACCTCCCCCATGGCCGCACAGGACCAGGGATTGGGCGCTTCAATACGCAGCCATATGGCCATGTTCTGCCACATACCGGGATCAAACCATTCCGGTTTTATCATGGCATTAAAAGTGATGATAAATACCAGGCCACCCGATAACAGACCGGCAAACGCACCGGTCTTGGTCACACCTTTCCAAACCGCGCCGAGAATAAGCGGCCCGGCAAATGCCGCCATCATGCAACCCGTACCAACCCAGACAATGATAGTGACGTTCATATCGAGCATCGACCAGGCCAGCGCCGTACAGAGCAACATAATGACAACTGTACTGACCCGACTGATTTTCAATACACGTTGTTCCACTTCTGCCTCACTCAAGTGCGCCCGAAAGCGCGGCACAAACGTTAAACGATAAAGATCGTTGGCAACAATCTGAGAAGAGGACACAACCAGGCCGTCTGCGGTAGACATCACTGCCGCAAGAATACCTACACCCAGCAGAGCCGCCAGCCAGCTGGGAAACAACTCGATAAACAGCAGAGCCAGGGCCTGATTGCCATTCACACCTTCACCCAGAATGACCCGCGCCATGATGCCACCCAGGCCTAACATCCCCAGGATCAGACCAAAGGCAAAAGCGAGGCGGATAAATGTCTGACGTTGTTCAGGCGCTTTTAACGCCCACAACTTATTGCCGATGTGAGGCAACATGCCCAATGGAATATGCGCCAGCAATATCGCCAGCACCGACCACCAGGAATGGTAGAGGACATCATTCTTGTTGAGCCAGCCCACCAGATTCTCATCTTTGGCGCGTAGCTGATCCAACATGCCACCAAAGCCGCCTTCAATGCCATACCCGAGCAGAAACAGTATCATCACCAGTAAACCGACAAGCACCATGATGAAACCCTGTACACCGTCAGTAAGAATATCTGCGTGCGCACCACCGAGCACTACGTAAACCATCAACACGAAAGCAGTTACACCCAGCGCAACTGCCGGCGGTAGGCCTAACATAATCTCAAACATGACAATACCGGAGACAAGTTGCCCTGCCAGGTAGAAAAACAGAGACAGAGAGAACAGCGATACCAGAATCCGGATCAGATCAGATTGATAGCGAATACCCAGATACTCTGGTATCGAACGGCTGCCAAATTCATGTCCGCTGCTGCTGACCAGACGCAAACACAGCAATACACCAAGATAGACCCCGACCGGATAAAGAAAGACGGACCAGATCACCGCCATGCCCGCGTTGTAACCGATGCCTGGAAAGCCTACAAAGGTGGCTCCACTGGCGGTGGTTGCGGCAAAAGCAAATGCAAGAAAGACCGGTCCATATGCATTTCGCGCCGTAGCAAAATCGTCTGCGTTGCCGACCTTGCGCTGTCCCAACAGCCCAAAACCCAGCATCATGGCAATATAAGCTGCCAGAAAAATCCAAGACCAAACTGTAAGATCCACGTGTACACCCTCACCCCTGAGTTACGACAGCTTACCAGTTTCTTTTTCAGTTGCTATTTTTGTTATGGGTACGAGCAGGCTTCAAAACAGCGGCATTTGTGCATTACCAGGCTGTAGTGGCGGGACAAACAGATCTGTTCGTAGTCGAGGCAATCCTGCATCCGCCAGTCCCTGTCGCTTAAGCGCCACATTAAAACGTTGCGCAATCAATTCGGCAAACGGTCCGGATCCCGTCATTCTCTGATACCACTGCGCCGAATAGGCTTTGCCACCGCGCGTGCTTCTGATGGTTTGCATCACCCGCTTCGCTTTCAGCGGGTAGTGATGAACCAGCCACTGTTCGAACAAAGGCGCCACTTCATGAGGCAAGCGGATCAGAATATATTGCACGGCACCGGCACCAGCTTCTGCGCAGCGCTGTACCATGGCCTCGAGCTCATGATCGTTCAGGAATGGGATAACCGGCGCAATCATGGCACCTGTTGGCACCCTGGCGTCAGCTAAAGCTGATATTGCACGCAGGCGCGCAGTCGGGCTTGCGGTACGGGGTTCCAGCTTGGTTTTCAGCTGATTATCCAGCGTGGTAACACTTAAATGCACGTGCACCAGCTGCTGATCAGCAAGCGCCTGCAATATATCCAGATCACGCAGTATCAACGCACTTTTTGTCACGATGGTGACCGGATGTTGGTACTCAAGCAACAATTCCAGAATCTGCCGCATGATCGTCCGCTCCCGCTCAAGGGGTTGATACGGATCTGTATTGGTGCCCATCGCTAAGGGACGACAGACATATCTGGCATGCCCCAACTCTTCAAGCAAACGTTCACGTACACCGGTTTTGTAAAAAAGCTTTGTTTCAAAATCGAGCCCGGGGGATAGGTCCAGATAGGCATGTGTGGGCCGTGCGTAACAGTAGATACAGCCATGTTCACAACCTTTGTAGGGGTTTATGGACTGCTCGAAACCAATATCCGGCGAGTTATTCTGAGTGATCAGGCGTACGGTACGGTCAGGCAGAACCTCGGTTGCCAATCGCGTCGGCACTTCCTGCGCGTACCAGCCGTCAGCTGTTGCCACCGTTTGCAGAGGCAGAAACCGGCTGTCGACATTACCCACGGCGCCCCTGCCTTTTATTGGTGCATCGGGTATTGGTACATCGGGTACTGGTGCATCTGGCAGTAACTCTTGGCATGAATCCGTTAATGGATCTGCCGACGAAGAGGGTAACAGAGGTGATGGCACTGCTTTTTCACATGAATTTTACGGAAAACCTTTATAACTGTATATTTATACAGTATCAAGCTTTGCAAGCCGTTAGTAGACTTAACGCTCTGGGAGTCACACTAATGAAAATGTCCATGCGCCTAAGTTGCGTTGCCTTGCTTGTCCTGTTTTCCGGCTGTGCCCAAGTCGCTCAGCAGACAACAGTAGACCAGCTGCGCCTGGAACTTGCCCAGATTCAGAACAGCCTGGATGATGCCGGCACTCAAGCGACCGCCCTGTTTGCCGAACAGTCTCTGAATACCGAAGACCTCAGCACTCAACTGGCAAGCCTGAATGAAACCGTTTCCCGGCTGGATGACACAGTCAGCACCTCGTGCCCTGAAAAAGCTGAGCGTGTTGTTGTTCAACGCTGCGATCCGGTAAACACCACATCCGTGGTAGTCGCCACCGAAGGTAAGATGGTGCTGGGTGAACTGGAACGTGTATGGGTTGATCCACCCGGACTGCAGATGATCGCACGTATTGACACCGGCGCCAGTTCCAGCTCTCTACACGCCGACAACATTACCCCATTCGAACGCGACGGCGATGACTGGGTGCGCTTCAACATCAACAATTCAGATAAAGAAAGCGTCACTATTGAACAACCGGTGACAAAATACGTACGCGTTTTTCAACAGGCGGATAAAAGCGGTTCACGACGACCCGTGGTTGAACTGAGGTTGGTGCTTGGCGATGTTCGCGACACATTCAGCTTCACCCTCGCTGATCGCAGCCACTTGGAACAGGACATGATTCTGGGTCGTAACTTCCTCACAGATATGGCGTTAGTTGATGTCAGCAAGCAGTACGTACAACCCCCGTTCAAGCCTGTTGCTGTAACGGCGCAGCAATAAACCATGAACAGAATAGGTCCGTTTCTAACGCTCGTCGTTGCATTGATCGTGATAGGTCTGAGCGCTGCGCAATTTCGCCACACCACTTACAACATTCCATGGCTGCCTGGCAGTGAAACTGAAATCTGGCAGGTTGAAGCCCGAATTGAATTTGACGCCCGAGGCGGCGCTGCGCAGGTTTACCTGACGCTGCCCCCTGACCAGCAGGGGTTTGCAATGGTCAGCGAAGCCACGGCTTCCTCTGGCTGGGGGTTTGCCATTGAAGGTGACCAGATCCAGCGCCGGGCACACTGGACGCAACGCGCCCCACAAGGTCGCCAGGTGCTTTTTTACAAACTTGATCTTGCGGTCAGTGACGCAGACACCTGGGAGTTGCCTCCGCCTGAGCCCAGCGGCACGATCATCTGGGATGAACCCTATCAGACGGCAGTGAGCCACGTACTCGATACCATTCTGCCGATCACCGCCGACCCGCACACCATGGCGTTGCAGCTGATCAAAACCATCACCCGTCAGCCACCAGATCAGAATGTATCTCTGCTGACCTCTGCTTATGCCGGCGCCGACCTCCTGCAACGGGTACTGCAGACCGCAGGCATTAATGCACGTGCGGTACAGGTGCTGGAACTTGAAGACGGCAGGCGCCGTCAATCGCTGGCTGACTATCTACAGGTATGGGACGGACAACAGTGGCGTCTGTACGACCCAGCTGTTGGCGAAGTGACTAAATCAACAGAATTACTTTTGTGGCAAACCGGCACACCAGGCGTACTGGAGGTGCTCGGTGGCACTAACAGCCGGGTGTCGTTTTCGATGATCAGTCAGTCTCGCTCATCGCTGCTGCTGGCGCAGGAGCAGGCCGACGATCTGGCTTTGTCGCTGTACAACCTGCCGATCGCCGAACAGAGTATGTTCAAACTGATCATGCTGCTACCCGTTGGCGCATTTGTCGTGGTACTGCTGCGTGTTCTGATTGGTATACGCACATCCGGGACGTTCATGCCGGTATTAATCGCGCTGGCTTTTCTGCAGACAGAACTGATCCCCGGGCTTACCAGCTTCATTATTGTTGTGGGTATCGGCCTGTCTATCCGATCCTATCTTTCCACGCTGAATTTATTACTGGTGGCACGCATAGCCACGCTGGTGGTGCTGGTCATCGCTATCATTTCACTCTTCAGTATCGTCAGCTACCGACTCGGCTTGATTCAGGGTCTGACCATAACGTTTTTCCCGATGATCATCCTTGCCTGGACCATCGAACGCATGTCTATCACCTGGGAGGAAGAAGGCCCTAAAGAAGTGCTTCTACAGGGCGGTGGCAGTCTGTTCGTGGCTGTATTGGCTTTCCTGTTAATGGATATGGCGGTGATCGAACACCTGGCTTTCAACTTTCCGGAGCTGCACCTTGTGCTGCTGGGTTTCATTCTGCTGGCCGGACGCTATACAGGTTATCGCCTGCTGGAACTCAAACGCTTCAGCGCGTTTAATTCATGAGCAGCTGGATCAGTCCATTTGAACTCAAGCGTCGCGGCATCCTCGGTATGAACCGACGTAACATTTCATATATCAGCCGCTACAATAATCGAAGGCAATTCCCCCTCGTCGACAACAAACTGAAAACCAAGCTGGTTGCAGAGGAAGCTGGGCTCGCGGTTCCAAAACTGATTGATATCGTTGCCACTCAGCATGAAGTTGAAAGCGTCGAACGAAACTTGAAAGGCCTGGATTCATTTGTCGTCAAACCCGCCCAGGGCAGTGGCGGCAAAGGCATTCTGGTGGTGGTTGGTCAGGAAGATGGCCAATACCGGAAAGCCAGCGGCGACCTTATTTCTCTGGCCGCCGTCAAACGTCACCTGACCAACACACTTAGTGGCCTGCATTCGCTGGGCGGAAGAAACGATGTAGCGATTCTGGAAACCCTCGTGCGCGTGGACCCGGTCTTCTCTTCGTTCAGTCATGAGGGTGTGCCGGACATTCGTCTGATTGTTTTTCAGGGCATACCCGTGATGGGCATGTTGCGCCTGGCTACACGCGCATCAGATGGCAAAGCCAATTTGCACCAGGGTGCCATCGGCGTTGGTCTTGATATTGCGACGGGCCGAGGCATCCAAGCTGTACTGCATAACAAACTCGTTACTCATCACCCGGACACCGGCGCCGACCTCTCTACATTGACCGTGCCCAATTGGCCTGCGCTGTTAAGGCTTGCAGCTGAATGTTATGAAGTGACCGAGCTAGGCTATCTGGGCTGTGACATTGTCATCGATCGCGATCGGGGGCCGTTGATACTTGAGCTGAACGCCCGGCCGGGCTTATCGATTCAACTGGCTAACAACAGTGGTTTACTGCCCCGACTGCAGCACGTGGAGGCCACCAATACCAAAAAAATGCGCATCGCAGATCGACTGCAGTTCGCCATCGAAAACTTCAAACACGACGATACCTGGGAAACCCTACCCGCCTTCTAGCTGATCAGGCTGCCAGCTTCCCCTGCCGGTCAACTTGTTAACCAGTCAAGAATGCGTGGATTTTCTTCCACCGGATAGGTGTGCGAGAGGTCATCAATTTCCCGATATTCAACCGCCGCACCAGCACCGGACAATGCCTGCCGGGCAGTGCGCGCAACTTCTATCGGAAACATCCAGTCCAGTGCGCCATGCATCAGGTAAATCGGTAACCCCTGCAGGCGCTGGGCATCCGCCACTTCTACCAGCATCGGGTGGAACGAGGCAGAACTCGGCGCCAGATGGGTGAACGGCGACGTACTCTGCAGGCCGCTGACATAGCTGAATGTGCCACCATCAGACATACCACTTAACAGCACCTTACCGGTGTCAATTGCCCAGTGCGCCTGCACATAGGCCAACATGGCCTGCAGATTTTCTGTATCTATGTCCGGCCCCATCAACGACCAGGTACCCTCTTTCGAGGTTGGGCTGACGATAATCACATTCCTGCTGCGCGCCGCCTTGATCCAGGACCATAAAAAACTGCGGCCATGACCGCTGCCACCATGTAGCGCAAACACAACGGGCACAGTCTCCCCGGCGTAATACTCCGGAACATAAAGGGAGAATCCACCACGCTCGTCAGCCGCATTAGATATATGCATCACACCGACATTGGGTTGCTGCGGGTCTACCTGAGCCAGACGCGCCAGCAGATCTTCATCGTCCCGGCACTCCGGCAGCAGGAAGTAACGACTCACGGGTGGCAGCATGGCGCTTAAGGGATAGATGGATTCTGTGGCACGGGTGTTGAATCCGACGGCGCGATACGCGGCCATGGCTGCATTGCTCTGATTCTGTGCGCTCAGAAATTCGTCAAAACCACGCATCAGAAGCTCACCGCTGTTGGTCGCCTGCTGGACAAAACCCGCAAGATGCTCGGGCCAGGCCGCGGCAATGAATTGTGCCAGCCCTTGTTTTACCGGCTCCCGATAAGGCAGTATTTCCTGTGCGAGTTGGGCAATGTTCGGCGGGTGCAGGTGTCTGGCCGCATGCCCCATAACCTCTATACCCGTGAGCAATGGCGGAATCAGAGCGGTGGTTGCTTCGAGCAGTTCGTCTGTATTGTCCATCAGGTCACTATAACCAGAATCTTGTATAGTGTGGGCCAGCAATTTCACCACCCTCCCTCTTACCCATCAAGAGGTTCGCCAGCCAAGAGAGACGCGTAATGGAGCAAGAGCAAAACAGCTATGACCGCAGCCAGGAAGACGTCGGCAACGTTCAGCTGCTCGAGCACGTCAACTTAACGGTTCCCGATCAGTCGCTAGCCGGTATGTTTTATGTCACGGCTCTGGGGTTCACCCGCGATCCGTATATCGACTTTGGCACCCTCAACATGTGGATTAATCTGGGTGACCAGCAATTTCACCTGCCCACCAGTAAAGCCCAGGTCTTACGTGGCCATATTGGCGTTGTGGTCCCGGATCTCGACGAGTTGGGCAAGCGCCTGAAGTTTGCCGCCCGAGGCCTGAATAACACCGCTTTCAAAAGCATTGAGGGTGACAACTGTCTTGAACTCACCTGTCCTTTCGGCAACACCATCAAAGCCTATGCACCAGCCAGTTTTCCGCGCATGGACCTGGGGATGCCTTATGTCCAGTTTGATGTCCCACCTGGCACCAGTGCAGGCATTGCAAAATTTTATAACCAGGTGCTGGGTTGCCCCAGTCAGCATGACAACGACACCACGCGGGTGGCCATGGGACACAATCAGAGCCTGATTTTCAAAGAAACCGATGCACCGCTTGCGGCTTATGACGGTCACCACATTGCCATCTACGTGGCCGATTTTTCGGGACCACATGTGTGGCTGTCACAACGTGGCCTGATCAGCGAAGAGTCGGACCAGTTTCAGTATCGTTTTATCGATATTGTCGACCCTGACAGCGGCGAGGTGCTCTATCAGGTTGAACATGAGGTACGCGCTCTCAGCCACGCGATGTATCGCCGACCGCTGGTGAACCGCAACCCCAGCACTAATTTTTTCACTTACCGGAAAGGCAACGAGCAGTTTTCACCTGCGCCCAGACAGAAGAGATAATATGACCCAAGCCGTAGATTTTTTCACCGCAGATACTGAACCCTACTACCTGCCGCTTGCAGATGAAGTAGAAATATTTCGCGCTGCTTACAGCGCCAGGCTGCCTATATTACTGAAAGGCCCTACAGGTTGCGGCAAAACGCGTTTTGTCGAACATATGACCTGGCGCCTGTATCGAGAAACTGCCAATCAGCTCGAAGTACCGTTGATCACGGTGTCGTGCCACGAAGATCTGACAGCAACAGATATGGTCGGTCGTTACCTGCTCAAAGGTGATGAAACCGTCTGGACGGACGGGCCGCTCACCCGTGCCGTGCGTACCGGCGCCATCTGTTACCTGGATGAAATAGTTGAGGCACGCAAGGACACTACTGTTCTGATCCATTCGCTAACCGATCACCGTCGCATTCTGCCCATCGACAAAACCGGAGAACTGGTCGCCGCACACCCGGAATTTTTACTCGTTATATCTTACAACCCTGGTTATCAGAGCGTTTTAAAAGATCTGAAACCCAGCACGCGGCAGCGTTTTGTCAGCCTTGAGTTTGACTATCCTGAGGTCGAGCTGGAAGCAAAAATCATCGCACACGAAGCTGGCATCGATGATGACATCGCCGGGCGCCTGGCGGTTATCGGCGAACGGGTACGCAATCTTAAACAGCATGGCTTTGAAGAGGGTGTGAGCACACGTCTGTTGATCTACACCGGGGATCTGATTTCTGCCGGCATTGATCCACGGCGCGCCGCTCAAGTGGCCATTGTCACCGCTATTTCAGACGACCGTACCGTCCAGCAGGCAGTGGCGGATATCGTTGATGTGATCCTGCCCTGATATGGTCAACCTCGCAGCCTGCGAAGACACTCTGGCACTTTTCACGGAAGGCATAGCCGGACGTTATCTGCACATCAAAGCCACCGCCGAATTTGCCAACAATCGGCAACTTGCTTATCACAGTGATCGCGCGGGCCAGGGTGCTGACGCTCTGTTTCTGCCGGAAGAGATTGATGCACCAGATCATCATTGTTATCGCGTACTGGTACTTGAGCAGATCGGGCTGCGCGAGTGCGGCACATTTTCATTTCGTATGGAGCGCGGCCTGGCTGACATCAGCGAACTGTCGGAGCGTTACGAAGTACCCAAAGGTGCAACCCCCCGCACCGGCGATTTTTTCCTGCTGTTCAGCGCCTTCGCACAACCGTCTCTGGCTACAGACCTGTTTAATCTGTTCGAAAAAGCGCGAGTACAGGCGCACCTGTTACGTACCTACCCGGGCATCAACCGACACATGCAGCGATACCACGAGCATTTGCTGGAAACCGCTGAACTGCACTACGATCCGCTCAGCTTTGGCCATCGCAGCCTTTGGGGAGACAACGAAATCCCACCGGAATGGCAATCACTAAGCACTGCTCTAAAGCGACTGCAGGGCCCAGAGCAAACCGTCTACGACAGCGTGCGCGCCTTGTGCCAACTGTATGATCAGGTCGCTGAGGCCTACGTTTTCGAAACCCTGAAGTCTTATCCCAGCCCCGAAGAATCAATTCCCGACTGGCTGAATCGAGAACAGCGCATTGACGAGTGGGACGAAAAGCTAGAAGAGCTGGATGATCAGGTCATGATGGCTGACATGATTCACGCGGAAGACCTGGAAGCAGAACGCGGCGAAACCAGCGAAGCAGCTATTCGCGATGCAGAGGTCGACATCAAGATGTTGATGGACGAACGCGACACCCTTAAGCGCCGCATCGACATGGAAAAATCTTCTGTACAGCATGCACTGGGCCCTGACCGTTCCGCAGCACGCAGCTACCGCTATGATGAGTGGGACTATCTGCAACGTCGTTATCTGACCCACTGGTGCCGCGTATACGAAGAATCCCTGTTAGGTACTGACGAAGAAGACATAGAAGGGCTGAACAACGCCATTCGCCATTTTCAGGGCATTGTGCAGAAACAACTGGAACAGATACGTCCAACGGGTTTACAACGCATCTCACGCGTTCAGGATGGTGACGAACTGGACCTGAATGCAATCATCGAAGCACGCCAGGATATTCGCGCCGGCCAGAGTCCCAGCGAGCGTTTCTACTCGCGCAAGGAGCGCATGCACCGCGATGTGTGCGCCATTTTCCTGGTTGATTTAAGCGCATCCACCGATGACCCGGTGGAACCACCCGAACCCAGAGACTGGTCGGACTACGACGAAGACGCATCCGACAACATGCGTGACCCATGGTATGCCGCGCTGACCAGCGACGAAGAAGAACCTGTGGTCGAGCGAAAAATTATCGATATTCAACGTGAAGCCATGGTGGTGATGGCCTCTGCGCTGGATGCTCTGGGTGACAGTTATGGCATCTATGGCTTTTCCGGCTACGGCAAAGACTGCGTAGAAGTATTTGTGGCTAAAGAACCCCAGGAAGGTTTTTCTCAGCGCACGCTGCAGTCTATTGCCGCGATGAAGCCAAAGCGTTCCACTCGCATGGGGCCTGCTATCAGACACAGTACACACAAGCTGATGCAATCCGGCCATGCGATGAAAGTGCTGATGGTAATCAGCGATGGTTTCCCCCAGGACAGCGACTACGGACCTGAGCGCGGCAATCATACCTACGGTGTAGAAGATACCGCCAAAGCCATCAAAGAAGCCCAGCAGAAAGGCGTGGAAACGTTCTGTATCACGGTGGATCGATCCGGACAGGATTATCTGAAACAGATGTGTCCCGACTCGCGCTATCTGGTGATAGAAGAGATGGAAGACTTACCCGATCAGCTAACGAAAGTGTATGCAGCACTCACAGGTCGCTAGTTCTGACTGAACATGAAACACCCTGGGTTGTGGTCTTTGCGGCAGACCGGGCCAAAGCAGTCAAAGAAGCCGCACTGGTCCTGAATGCTGTTGGCATCAAGAATACCATTGCTCGCCAGCACAGCGATTGGGTGATCTGGGTTGCGCCTGACGATCAAGCCGAAGCACACCGGCAACTGCAATCTTACTGGGAAGAGAATCAACCGAGGCCCGACCAGCCCGTGAGTGCCACCATTATTGATAGTGGATGGGCCGGCGTAGTGGGTTATCTGTTTGTCATCTGGCTGATTCCAGCTTTATCTGCTTACAGCGACCTGGACTTCCGCAGTCTCGGCCGGCTCGATGCCGGCGCGGTGATTGACGGACAATGGTGGCGTACCGCAACGTCACTGACCCTGCACGCAGACATCGCCCATATCGCGTCTAACTCACTGTTTGGCTGTGTTTTTGGCCTGTTTGTCGGACGCCACCTCGGCTCTGGACTGGGCTGGTTGCTGGTGTTGATCTGCGGCATAGCTGCGAACCTCTTGAATGCTTTTGTCCAACCCGATCAGTTTCTTGCCATAGGCGCCTCAACTGCGACGTTTGCTGCGCTGGGCATTGTTCCGGCGTTTGGCTGGCGCCGGGGCTTCTTCCGCGGCCGGGGATTCAAACGTGGATTCGCGCCGATATTCGGCGCTATCGCCTTACTTGCATTCACCGGCTTCGGCGCCGAGAACGTCGACGTGTTAGGTCACTTGTTTGGGTTTGCTGCAGGCATTGGCATGGGATTGGCGATAGCGCATATCAAACTCGACAACATCAGCCTGGCAGATCAGCAGCGTGCTGGCGTTGCCGCGTTCCTGATTCTTGGCACTACCTGGATATTAGCGTTGCGCTAGGAAACCTTGCATTCCCTCAACCACGAACAGCGAGTAAGCTATGAACCAACACGCTGACTCCACACGAGGTACCACCTAACTTGGCCAACAGCTCTTCCATTCGCATTCCCGTTGCCGACTTCTCGGCAATGAGCTCTAATCCAAATGACTCCGCAACAGCCGGAGACTTCCTCGAAATCTGGGACCACGCCTTTCGAGACTTCGGTTTTGTTTACCTGATCAACCACGGTCTGGAGGACAAATACCAGCGTCTTCACAAGGCACTCGAAACATTTTTTGATCTACCAGACAACGAAAAACTTAAGTTTCGAGTTGCTAGAGAATACGGACATGGTGGTTTTATCCCGCAAGGTCAGGAGAGCGTGTCACGGTCCTACCTCGACAAGGAACACGCCAGACCGCCGGATGCCGTCGAAAGCCTGGCGACGTCTAATTCAGACTTTGCCACATTCCCGTGTAAAGCAAACGGCTACCACACGGATGAGTTATCTGAGCTCTCAATGGAATTGAAAGACGGACTGGATGATCTGGCCATCAGGGTCATGGAGATCATGGCTATGTGTCTTGATTTACCACCGGCGTACTTTCTGAATTATTACCAGCATGGGAAGGCTAATAATGATCTGCGTGTCGCCAGATACCTGCCGGTTACAGAGAGCCAGACCGGCAAACAAATGCGCTACGGCGAGCATACCGATTACACGGGTTTCACCTTCCTGTGGCGAAGTGCAGATAATGGTCTGCAATGCCTGCATCCGGATTCTAAAGGCAGCAAATGGATAGATATTCCCAACAAAACTGAACATAAAGACGCACTCATCGTGAATGCGGGGGATCTGATTCAGCGCTGGACCAACGATTACTGGATCAGCAACGTCCACCGGGTGTTAGGTAGTGAAAACGCTGATGATGACAAAAACAAACACGACCCAATGTCGATCGTCTACTTTACCGGCCCGCACGAGGATACAAAGATCCGTGTCTTAACAGGCTCAGAAAAAGTCCGGCAGCAAGGACCTGTCAAAAAGCAATACGAAGAAGAGATCACGGCTGGGGAACATTTGCGGCGCAAGATCGATGCTTCGAACGAGTGAAGTCGTGAACCAGATCAAGATTGTGCTTATCTGTGTGCTTGCGTCCTTCATCATGTCGGGATTTCTCAACCCCATAGGATTAATCAGCGGCCCTGTCGCAGAGGCGTTTGATATCCCGCTGACCGTCGCCGTCTCCCGCTTCGGCTACTTCACCTTTGGCGTTTTTGCCGGTTACATTCTGTCATTCCATATTTTTGACTATATGCGACTGAAAACCGTTGTCGTCACCGGGTACCTGCTGGTCGCACTTTCAGTGGGCGGGCTCTATTCTTTTCCATCCACAACAGGCCTGGCTTTCTTTCTCTTCAGTATTGGCCTGTTTATGAGCGTGCAGGCTTGCGGGGCAAGCACTCTGGTCAGCTGGATATGGAGCGGCAAACAGCGTCAGACCTTTCTGATTGCGCAGGATGCCATGTTCAATGGGGGTGGCATTGCCTTCACCGCGATGACTACCTGGCTGCTTACAGCGCAATATCACTGGGCATCGATCTACTTGCTTGTCGCTTTGCTCACACTGCTGCTCTCAGGGATTGCTGCAACAACAAAAATTCAAGAGCCGACGGATACCAAAGAAACAAGCGATATCCAAACCGAGTGGAATATCGGCATCCTGGCAGTCGGCGTCAGCATTCTCCTTTTCATGACAGCCAAGATTTCGATTTTTATCTGGGCGCCACAATTTGTTGAGCAAACATTTAATGCAACCGTCGAGCAGTCAGGTCGCTTACTGACAAATATATTCATAGGTGCATTCTGTGGGTCTCTGATCGGGACTTATGTCGTCTCCCGCATAAAAATTGAATATTTTCTGATTGCCATGTTGACCTTCGGGGGTGCCGGCTTATCGATCGCCCTGACCGTCACGGAACTGGATTCAGTGCTTATCGCCGGATACCTCGTAGGTGGATCAATAGGCGCAACATTCAACGCCTATACGGCGTTCGGCTTAAATTGCGTGCGCATACCAACCCACAAGAATGTCGCCTATATCCTCTTAGCCGGAGGCATTGGATCAGCAATCGCACCCTGGTTCAGCAGCCAGATAGTCAACACAAGTGGTGATGTTCGGGACGCGCTGATGGCGTGTCTGGCGATTCAGGGTATCGTTCTGTTCAGCGTCATCCTACTGGCTGTCTATATCCGTCGGGTGAATCAAATATCAACAGACTTGATGAAAATGCCAGGTCAATGAATCCTGAGACACCCACGGTCTGCCGCTAATCAACAACTTCCTTCACTGCCTGCATGATCAGCGGTCCTGCGGTAGCACCAACAGACACCGAGGTCAGATATTCTGCATGCGGGTAGGCTGCGTCGTCGGCGAAATATTCAGGCTTCAGAATATAGCCCATGGCATCCTGAGAAAGGCCCAGAACAAAACTGTGGCGCGTGTCCATCAGTTCACGTGATGCCAGCGAATAGGCCGGTGAGGTTTCGCCCGGGTGAGTAACAAACTCAGCCTCACCAATTTTGAACCAGGCCACGCTTGTACGCATTGCCCCATCATAGGTTTGCCGGTCTAAAACGCCCAACCACATGAGCAGGCGAAAACCCCAGTTGTGTAACGGCACATCAACCTGCTGCTGCCGAAACACAAGCGGTGCATAAGCGTTATTCTGCGCATCAGCCAGCAGATCAATGACCGCTGCCGCTAAAGATTCACCGTGAGCGAGGGCGAGTTCGTGAGAGCGATCACCCTGCAACGGTTGTACCCACCCACCGATTGCGCCCTGTAGAAAAAGATGTTCGCCGCCTAATTCATTTGTCAGTTTTTGATAAAACCCAGCCACATAATCTGCAGATACCTCAGTGTTTTCCGGCCCCAGCACTGTGGGATGACAGGCATAGTTCACCAGTGTCAGCAGGCTGGCGCCTTTGCGATCAACAAACTGCATAACCGCCAGGCGACGATCCAGCAGCTCAGGTTCACTGACATTTTCAACCCAGGCCAACGGCAGCTCAGCACTTGCAAGCCTGCTTGTTGCAGGTTGCAGCTGCGTAGCTGTACGTGCCACTAACGCAACGGCTGTCTCTACCAGCTGCGCGATATATTCCTCATCACGACCGCTGCGCCAGAAGGCGGGACCCCAGATGCCAACTACATCAGGGCCAGCATGGGTGTGAGTAGACGACACCACCACCTTTGCCTCAGGGATTTTCTGCGCAATGCCGTTTTCAATGGCCAGAATGTCTGGGCGCGTTAAACCAATACAATCGATTGTCAGCAGAGCCAACAGATCCGAGCCCGTTTTAACAAGCGCAGCCTTTATGTGGATTGCATCCGCGGCACCAGTGGATTTTCGATCCGGCCCGTAACCGGCGAGATAAGTACCCTCGGCGGGCGTGATATCGACCGAACCTGCGGCTACTCGATAAGTTTGCGCAAAACAAGTGAACGCAAACAACTGCATACTTAGCAGCAGAATAACAATGACAACCCTCACAAAACCCCCTCAGCGTTCTCCAACTACCCGAATCAGTTTAGCGCATTGCAACAGCAGATTAATTGTTTTATACAAGGTATACGCGTGCAACAGGATCAAACAATGGCAGCTTCCAAACCCACCTGGCTCTCCGGCCGTCTGGTACTCGTCATCTGGTTATTGACCCTGTTAGCTGGGTTTATTGGCCTGGGTGGCTACATACAAGAACGTGTCGAAGGTATAGATCCTGCGCAAATACCGCTTATCCCTACCCTGATCTTTGCATTTCTGCTGCTCGATGCCATTGTGGTGACAATCTGGTGGGCTGCAACGTTAACCAGGCCTGGCTCTTCTGCGGCTGAACAAGCAGACACTGAACCCGCAACTGGCAGGCGTAAATTTCTGACAGGCAGCGCCGCCATCACCGGCGGTGTTTTAGGTGTAGCAGGAGCAACCGCCGCTAGAGTATCCGGTTGGGGAACAGTCACCGGGCCAGCCATCGGTGCTCAAACTGAGCAGACTTCACCCGTGGCAAAACAGGCCTGGAGTGGCGCACAAATTCAAGCCTATCGACCGCTGGGTAATACCGGTCTGATGGTCTCCGATATTTCCGCTGGTTCTACCCGGCTGCACCAGAACCCTGACCCGGTCGGATTCTTAAACGCGATGCTGGATCGCGGCGTCAACTATATTGATGCATCTCCAGATTATGCGCCTGAGAGTGAAGACATTATCAAACAGGCAATCGCAGGGCGTGACCGCAGCAAACTGGTCATTGCAACAAAGTTCTGTACCTCCAGCGGACATCTACGGCAACGCAGCAGTGTTCAGACATATATGCAGACAATGGAATCTGCACTGCAGCGTCTGGGTACGGACTATATCGACGTGGCGCACATCCACTCCTGCGACAGTGTAGAGCGATTGATGGACGACAATGTACATGAAGCCGTCGACCGGTTACGCGAACAGGGCAAAGTCAGGTTCATGGGCGTATCTACCCATACCCCTAACCTGGAAGAAGTGGCCAATACCGCCATCGACAGTGGTCGCTTTCAGGTCATGATGCTCGCCTACCACCATGGTGCATGGCCAACGCAACAGCAGATTATCCGCCGCGCAGCTGAACAGGGTATCGGCATTGTTGCCATGAAGACTCTGAAGGGCGCCAAACACAATGGGTTAGCAGACTTCGCTGTAGAGAAAGACAGCTATACGCAGGCGGCTTTCAAATGGGTACTGAGCAACCCCGACGTTTCAAACCTGGTGATCTCATTTCACAACAATCAGCATCTGGATGAATATCTCTATGCGTCTGGTCAGGTACTGCAGAGTAACGACATAGCGGTGCTGGAGAAATACGACAATCTGATAGCCGGTACCCACTGCTTCCAGCACTGCGGCGCCTGTCTGGATACCTGTCCAGCTAATGTACCCATTCATGATGTCCTGCGGCATCGCATGTATTTCGAAGATTACGGCGATCAGAAACAAGCCATGGGCCTGTACGCCAGGCTCGAACAGAATGCGTCAGCGTGTTTATCCTGCGATGCACCCTGCGCAGGCGGTTGTCCCGCCAACATCCCGATTAGAGAACGCATGCTCGGCGCGCACCAGATGCTGACGTGACATCACGGGTTTTACCTAAACGACAAAAGCCTTTTAGCGGAAATCACGTATAGGGTGGCAGGGGGTTAAAAGCCCAGAATCAAGGTCAGGTTGTTGAACTCAACCTGACCCACTGATAACGCTAAAGGTACAATTATGAATTTTGAAGATCCGAAAACCACCCTGACCACCGCTGTTGTTGCCGTTGCTGTTGGCCTGGCGATTATCGCCGTAGGCGTGAGCGCTCTACATGGTATTCTGGGGTAAATTAGTTCCACCGGAGTCGGCCTATGACAAACCACGTACTGTGTGCAATAGAACCCAATGACGAAGCCAGAGACGTCACCAGAATTGCGGCGCACATTGCCCAAGAACGGGGTGCACAACTCACCCTCATGCACGTGGTTCCGCCCATGTGGCAGCCTTACGCCGACTTGAACTTCACGCCTATAGTAGAAGCCCAGGTCGCGCTGGAAGAAGATCTGCTTGCCAGCACAAAGGACAGCATGCACAAACTGGCAGCAGCGGTTGATGTAAAACCGGCCAACGTCATTGTGCAGAAGGGCGATCCGGTACACGCCATTGCTGAGCAAGCTGCCAACCTGGACGATGTGCTGATCGTTATGGGTGTGCACAATCGTGCTGGCCTGAAGCGACTGTTGGGTTCTACCGCCCACGGCGTGCTCAACAATACCCAGTGCCCTATCCTGTTAGTACACGCGGACGACCACGCTGCAGCAGCCTACAACAACATTGTGGTTGCCGTTGACACATCAGCATCGCTGCCAACGGTTCTGAGTGCGGCCAGCCCATTTGTGCAGTCTGCTAAAAAGCACCAGGTTATCAGTGTTGTACAGTCTCTAGCGGCCACCATGGGTGGACTGCAGACTTCAGCATTTGCAACCAGTTGGCCGATGACCGACATGCAGGAAGACCTTGTTAAGGCGGTTAAAAAGACGGTTGGTGAAGAATTACAGAAAGCGGGCTTGAGTGATTCTGAGTTTCTGGTTGTTGAAGGCGACCCCGCTCACGAAATCTGTGCGTGTGCAAAAGAAGCTGGCTCGGATCTCATTATTATGGGTTCCGGAAAGAGGAATATTATTGATCGCGTGCTGCTGGGTTCTACCGCTCATGGCGTTTTGAATCATACACCCTGTGATGTTCTGATTGCCCGATAGATGTGTTTAAACACATTTGGCTGAGCGAAGACTGGGTACTCTTAGCCCTGCTTTGCTTACTTGCCGTTTTCAGCGTAATGGCGGCGGCAGCGCAGCTATGGCTGCTATTCATTCTCTGTGCACCCTTCTTGGTGGCGACGTTGATCATTCTCAACAAATTATCAAATGCACGATGGTGCTCTACCTGCCAACAAGCTACGCAACTTGTTGCCAAAGAAGATAGGCCGGAGGAGAAGATTTACTATCAATGCAGTACTTGCGGTCAATCTATCAACTCGGGTGTCAACGCGAGCTGGTACGACTAGAACCATCCGCTGATCCACGTTTGAGACGCTTTGGCGGTTTGAAGCATCTTATTCATGACACACATGAAGAAGTAACCGGCCTATGAAAAAGATACCCCTCTACATTCCCATCATAGTCGCAGCGCTGATCTCTATTCCGACTACACTGCGCGCCGAACCTATGGTGTGCAACCCAAGCGACGCACCAGAGGCGCTGGCAGATTTCAGTTTCCTGATTGGTCACCATGAAGTCACTCTACAGGCCTGGGCCGGTGACACCTGGACACCACCCAGGCCAACCACCGCACACTGGCGCGGCTGGTATGGCCTAGACGGAAACGCCGTTTACGACGAATGGAACGATCAGGGGGCTGAGCCTGCGAACATCGGCATCAATGTACGATTTTATGACGACCAGGAAAAACTCTGGAAAATGATGTGGATCAGCAGCAGTGGACGCCAAGTCCAGGACCTGCGTGCAACTTTCATGGAAGATAAATTAACCATGTGGCAGGTGTACCCGCCACGCGAGGGCTGGAAAGCCGAATTCGAGATAATTGACCTGGGGCGTTGGTCAAGGACGTCTTATCTGCGTAATGATGCAGGCCTCTGGCAGCCTCAGTTCAAGTTGGTTGCAACGCGAACTCTGTGTGAGAATCAAGCACAATCGTTACGGCCTGGATAACCTCTGTGAAATTACTTTCCTATGCGCTTTTATTCAGTTTGGTCGGCGCAACATCGATTTCCGTTGGGGTCACGCTCTGGGAGTGGCTGGAAAATCCATCAGGTATCTATCACGATGGGACGACTACCCATTGGCAGATTGTCTATGAGACGGCCTTCAGTTGGCTTATACCCACTACCGGTTATCTTTTTCTATTAGCGGTGATGACACAGCTTATCTGGCACGGAATCGCAAAACTCAGGGAAAGGTTTCGTTAGCCCGCAAATATCAGGCATCACAGAGGTCTTTCGTCAATGACAAGTGAAGTTGAATATGCAGGTTTCTGGATAAGGACAGCCGCATCAATCATCGATACGCTACTGATCACAGTGGTTATTGGCCCGTTGCTGAGTGCGATATATGGCACAGGCTATTGGTTGAGCACGTCTGAGGTAAAAGGCACGTGGGACGTGCTGCTGAACTACATTTTTCCTGCTGCTGCCATTATCGTTTTCTGGGTCTACAAATCTGCAACCCCGGGCAAAATGTTACTCAAGCTGAAAGTGGTTAATGCGACTACCGGCGGAAAACCCAGCACCGGACAGTTTATAGGCCGCTATCTGGGCTATTACGTGGCTGACATAGCACTTTTACTGGGTATCTTCTGGGTAGGTATCGATAAACGTAAACAGGGTTGGCACGAGAAGTTAGCTGGCATACTGGTCACTAGACAGACAGATTCCTAATTGCGATGACAGACAACGATCCGCTCGCCGAGCAACCCTTTTCCTATCAGGCAACCAAAACAGGCCTGGTACGCATTGCGTATCTTGGCACTCAGGTGACAACGCTATCCGGCAAAGCTGCAGAACGATTTTTGTCCACGGTAAGTGACGCAGATGCCCATACTGCTCAGCTTGCGATGGCCAAAGCCACTGGCAACTTCAAACGGGGCAACGAAAAACAGGGCAAACTGCGCCGCTGCTGATACGACCGGCCCCTTGGAAAGAAGCCCTGATGCACCTTGGGGTTCGGCGTTGTTGCCCTTACACTCAAGCTACAAATCAGAACAACAGATTCTCATACCGATATGCACTGCACAGCCAATCTGACATCACGCTCAACCTTCCTGTCTAGGGCGCGGGTTGTGGGGTGCCTGCTTGTTCTTTTTTGCCTGATAAACGCACAGGGCTGCACCGCAACATCTGTTGCCGCAGCCGACAAAATCGATGCGCAAAGCGCGGTGATTGAATGGCTTATCCTTCTGGATAAAAAAGACTATCAGGCAACATACAGCACAACAGCTTCCTTTTTTAAAGAACAGGTGACACTCAATCAGTGGCAGGAACAGGTGTCGCGGGCCAGAGCTGCACTGGGAGAAGCATCGTCTCGACAACCCATTACCGCAACCTACAGCAACAAACTAACCGACACATCCATTGGCGATTACATCATCTTTCAGTTTCAAACAGAGTTCAGAGGGCAGTCTCGCGCTGTTGAAACAGTCACAATGGCGCTCGACAATGGAACCTGGCGCGCCGTTGGTTATTTTGTTCGATGAACAGGTGCGCAGTTTACTTCTGCCTGTTGCTGTTACTGAGCGGATGCAGCGGCGACACGCAAACTGAACCTCAGGCATCGGATATCTGCACGCAACAGTGGTTCAAAACCATAGATGCCGCCGTATCTACAGGCGACGGCCATGGACATGGTCCAGATATCGGATCAGACGAATGGCAGTCGGTGGTTGAGTTCAAGCTCGGCATCAGAGACAAAATGGAGACACCAGCACGAAACACTATGGCATGGTGCGTTTACATCGACAAACTTGTCGACAGCGTAGAGAAACCCAAACCAGAGATAACAGAAACAACAGGATTACGCCCGCAAAACTGACCATGAAATACTGTTTAATCGGCCTGCTCGCGCTCTTCCTCAGCCAACCGGTGTTGGCAGTCGAGGAATGTGTTGTGCTGCTGCATGGTTTGGCGCGAACGTCAGACTCAATGAGTGTGCTGGAAGACCAGCTGGAAGAAAGCGGCTATCGCGTTGCCAATCTTGATTACCCTTCCCGAGCGAAACCTATCGAAGAACTGGCTGAACCCACCATCAAGGAAGGGCTCACAGCCTGCATGGATGCCCCAACGGTTCATTTTGTCACCCACTCCCTGGGCGGCATTCTTATTCGCTATTACCTGGCGAGCAACAGCATCCAACAACTCGGGTACGTTGTTATGCTGGCACCACCCAACAAAGGCAGTGAAGTTGTTGATAACTGGCAGAACGTGCCAGGCTACCAGGCGCTCAACGGCCCTGCCGGAATACAACTCGGCACCGACAAGAACAGCATCCCGAACCGGCTGGGATCGGTTGATTTTCCCCTGGGCATTATTGCTGGAAACAAAACTTTTAACCCAATTCTCTCACTCAGCCTGCCAAACCCCGACGACGGCAAAGTCAGCGTTGAAAGCACTAAAGTGGATGGCATGACAGATTTTATTGAAGTACCGCATACGCACACATTTATCATGCGATCTGAACAGGTTATTCAACAGGTCATCCATTTTTTGAAGCATGGTCAATTCCTGCGGTTTTCTGGAACAGACATCACAACGATTACGCCTGCGAGTTGTCAGCACCTGACAGAAGTGGCAATTTCTTCTTATGTCTGAAGAAATCGAAATCACCCTTTCACCAATGTGCGGTTCCTACGCAGAGGGTGATATGACCGTTGAGGTAGAAATCTACAGCGGTAACAAAGAAGATTGGGTGCTCGAGATCATCAGCGATGACAAAACCATTATTATCGACACTACTTTTCCCAGCGAAGAAGCTGCTTATGGCGCATTCGAGGGGCTGGTGAAACAGTATGGTCTCGAGGGGCTGGCTGCATCTTAGCGGCTCAGCGCCTTTCGAGACAGATATCTCCCCTGCGCTCCAGCAAGCCTCAACAGACATACTCTACTCAAGACTTGGCAATACAACTTGTGGGATGATCTGGCCATTGATCGACCACGGCGCCATCAGTATGCAACTCATAATTCCACTTCGACCGCTTCTGTTCGCAATTTGCTTTTTACTACTGCCCACCAGCGTACTTGCGGAAAGTGCAGATCCTAAAAAGACGGCCGCCATTCACCGCTTGCTCGAAGTCACCGGCGCAATTGCCATGGGTTCCCAAATGGTTGACCAACTCCTGGCCATTCAGGCTCAGGCGCAACCCGCTATTCCTGCACAGGTCTGGGCTGATATTCGCGAGGAAATCGATTTCAGCGAATTCGAACCGGCTATGGTGCATATTTACGATAAACACTTCTCTACTGCAGAAATCGAAGGCTTACTGGCCTTCTACGAGTCGGATATCGGTCGTCGTTTCATCGAAAAACAGCCGGCCATCGTTCAGGATTCAATGGCGGCGGGACAGGCATGGGCGATCGGCATTCAGGAAAAGCTGCGCACTAAACTGGAAAAGCGCGGATTTAAACCCACCCGCCTTTAGACGCCGTAAGCCCCACAGAATAAGACATTTGGGCCTGCAGCCCAGCAGGACAACCCTTCCCACTTAGACGTTAAGGTTAAGTTCAGGTAACTTGACCTAATCTCAATGCTCGTCAAACAGTGCCTGCAGTTAAGGCATCGAGGTGCAAAGTGAACGCGTCCAGAATCTATATCGCTGGGTTACTAATGGCCTGCATTGTGCTGCCAGGGGTGTCACTACAAGCCGCCTCTGATGACAACGTCATCAGCGTGGAAGCCGCAGAATTACTCACCGCTGAAGAGCTCAACGAGTTAGTCGGCCCCGTGGCGCTATACCCGGACGACCTTCTTGCCATCGTGCTCCCCGCTTCCACCTATCCTCTGCAAATTGTCGCCGCTGCGCGCTATCGGGAAGACGCCGCCAGCAATGCGGACCTCGAACCAGCAGAAGATTGGGACGAATCTGTTGTTGCGTTGCTCAACTACCCTGAAGTTCTGACTTTTCTGAACGATGATATCGATTGGACCTGGCAGCTTGGACAAGCTGTGCTCGACCAACAGGAAGAGGTGCTGGCTGCGGTACAAACGTTCCGCGACGAGGCTTACGCTGCGGGGAATTTAGACAGTGACGAACGCCAGGTCGTAGCGGTTGAGGACGATGTGGTCACAATTAAACCCGCAGACCCAGAAGTCATCCATGTGCCTTACTACGAACCCGAAGAAGTCACTATTTATCAGACAGAACGCGTCTACCATTACTATCCCACTGCTTATCCGGTGTATTACTACCCGTACAGCTACAGCCATCGGTTTTACGATTACCCAACTTTCTGGGGGGTAAGCTCGGTGTTTGCTCTGTCGTGGAGCAGCTATCACCTGAACCACCATTACCATAACCATCGCTACCATCCGTACTATGGTCGCACCTATCACGGCAATCATTTTCGTCGCACATTCCGCTACCATGCACCTCGTGCGCACCAGCGCCGCCACTACAAACGGGACCGCAACCACCATGAAAAATGGCAGCCGCGGCGCAAGTATGCTGGTGCCAGGCCATACTATCGTGACCAACGAAATCGCGACCAGCGGCCAGCACGCGAGCATCGTCGTGAGCGCCACCTGCAGCACAACCCACGCGTTACACATCGTGCAAACCGCGAGCAGCGTATTGCTGACGGGTCGAGCATTCATCGTGATCAACGTCGCGAACAGAACAGCGTGCATCGTCAGCAACAGGGCAGTCGGACAGATCGCCAGTTCCGACCTAACACGCAGAATGAGTCTTTACGCAAACGACAGCAGCGGGAAATTCGTGAACGGCGCGAGGCCGCAGTAAATAGAGTGAACCATAATAACCGCGTTCTGCGCAGTCGTAGTGACAACAACACTACAGATGCTCGACCACAGCGTCAGCAGCGGGTAGAGCGCCAAGTAAATCGTCAGCGTGTAGAGCGCCCGCAAAGGGTAGAAAGACCTCAACAACAACGCCTGCAACGGGAGCAGCGCCCGCAGCGGGTAGAGAGGCAGCAGCGGGTCGAAAGACCGCAGCGGGCAGAAAGACCGCAGCGGGCAGAAAGACAACAACGCGCGCAAAGACCGCAGCGAGAACAGCGCCCGCAGCGTGCCCAACGGCAGGTTGCGCAAGCCCGTCCCAAACGCGAGGCAGCACCCAAGCGCAGCGCCAAGGTCCGTCAGAACCAGCATCGCGACAAGCCAGCGTCACGGCAGCGCGCCCAGATCGCGCAACGCAGCAGCGGTCACCAACGACAACACTAAGCTTCCATGGATACCGATTTCGGCCAACGTTTATCCAGCGCCCAGACCAGCACAACCATCAACGTGCCCGCCACAGGGCACCAATAAAAAAACGCAATGCCTTGCTGGCTCATCCACACCACAGCCAGAATTGCTGCAGACGCACCGATTACAACCGTACCCAGCTGGCCAATGCCGAATCTCGCTAGAACAATGGCGCCAAAGATGGCGCCGTAGACATAATTTGGCAGTTTGAATGTCAGATCCAGCAGACCCTCGCCGGAGTAACGGGCAAAAAACAGTGATACCGCCATGAAGACCGCACCCCAGAACAACATCAGTACACGCGAAGCAGCCACGTAGTGGGCTTCGCTTGCTGTGGGGCGAAAATACTTTGCGTAAAAGTGTGTGATGCTCAGGTCCGATGTTTCCGCAAGCGCTGAATCAAGCGTAGAAATAGCAGCCGCAAATATTGCAGCAATAAACAGGCCCGACAGCCCAACAGGTATTTCTGACAATATAAAGTAGGGGAATATCCGGTCGGGTGAGGTAGCCAGCTGCTGTGCCAGCTCATCGGGTAAGCCGCGCTCACCGTAGAAAACCACCAGCGCCAGACCCAGCGCCAGAATAACCAGATGCATAACGTAAAACAGCGCCGCAAAATTGTATGCCTTCTGCGCTTCACCTACGCTACGGCAGGCACGCACCCGCTGCCAGGTGCCCTGAGTACTGCCCTGGGCAATATTCAGCGCAATGCCGCCAATCACACCTGCCCAGATCGTATAGCGGCGTTCTGGATCAGTTGAGAAATCAAACAGTACCAGCTTTGCCTGCGCATCAAGACTCAGCAACGCTTCAGACAGCGACATCTCAATGTTGAACGCCACAAACACCAGCGCAAATACAGCGCCCAGGCTGAACAACACAAACAGCAGGAAGTCTGTCCAGATGACTGTCTTGATACCTGCTAACGCACTCCAGATAATGCTCACGACGACAACAAAACCAGCGCAGCCTGGCAAACCCCAACCTGTGATCACATCGAGTACCAGGCTGGCCGTGAGGAGCTTGACGCCGGAATTAATAATGGTCAGGAGTAAACCCAGGCACATCGACAGCTCTCCTGTCGCAGGATCAATTCGCTGACCAATGTATTCGTAGCTGCTGTTGGCTTGTCTGGCTTCATAGAACGGCTTAGCCAGCAGCATGCCTACAGCGATTTTACCGAGTGCCAGACCCACAATGACCTGGAAATAAGTTAGATCACCACCGGGGGCAAACACCGCCGCCGGTACAGAGATAAAGGTTACCGCACTCACCAGTGTCGCCAGGATGCTCGCCGATACGGCCCACCAGGGTAGCGAACCATCCGCCTGGAAGAACGCCCGCCTGGAGGCAATTGAGCCACTCAGGCGATGTCCCATATAGGTGACCAGAAGCATCACCACGACAATCACCACAACATCAATGCTATGTATGCCGGTAGCCATAATCAGCTGCTTTTCAGATTGCTATTGGCGTGCAAAATCTGGCTAAGTTAAACGCACAATACGTGTACCGATATTGCCACCGCTTAACAAGTCAACAAACGCATCAGGCGCAGCCGCCAGACCGGAAACCTCATCGGTCAGGCTTTTCAGCGAACCATCTGCAAGCCATCCATGCAGGACCCCTCGAGCGGTGGCATATTGATCTGCAAAATCGAACACCAGAAAACCGCGCATGTTTATACGCTTGTTCACCAGCAATCCAGGGATGCCTCGCGGGCCTGGCTCCGGCCGGTCGGTATCGTATTGCGACACCACGCCACAGCAGGCTATACGACCAAAAGTATTCATACGGAACAGGGCCGAGCCAAGGATCAACCCACCCGTGTTATCAAAATAGACATCAACCCCAGCTGGGGTCGCCGCCTTCAGGGCATCACGAAAATTCTGTTCTTTGTAGTTTACCGATGCATCAAAGCCAAGCTGATCTACCAGAACAGCGCCTTTTTCTTCACTGCCACAGACACCCACAACTGTGGTCTGCTTGATTTTGGCGATCTGTCCGACGAGGTGCCCTACAGATCCGGCCGCTGCAGAGACAAGGACGGTTTCACCTGGCTTCGGCTGGCCAACTTCAAGCAGTCCAAAATATGCGGTCAGGCCATTGATACCTAACGGACCTAAATAGGCGATGGGGTCATGGGCTGCGGGTATAACTTCAACCGCATGGGCGTCATGCACTGAGTATTGCTGCCAACCCGTGGGCGCACTGACCATGGTGCCCACCGCGATGTCTGACGCGCGGCTGTCGACCACTTCTCCTACCCCGGTTGCATTCATCACAACACCCGTGGTCGGCGCACCGGCATAGCTGGCACTGCCTTGTAACCCTGCGCGAGTGCCAGCAGTAATCGCAAACGCCGTCGTGCGTACCAATACCTGGCCTTCGCCTGCTTTGGGTATGGGCGCCTGGGCAAGCTGGTAATGACTCGGCTGCAACTTGCCTTGTGGTATTTCAGCAATCAGAACCTGCTGGTTGGTATCCATGTTCATTTCCTTCTGGTGGATGACGGGTCTAAAAACTATCTGCTGCGGGCGCTGACCAGCCAGGTAGCCCCTTCAAGATCTAATCCGGATTCGGTGATGAGAGGCGCAAAAGCATCCCGTACCGCCTGCAGCGCTGCCTCCTTCGTATCTCCCGATAATTCGGACAGAGCACGGGCAACGGGCCCAACTTCGCCCTGAGAATGCATGGCAGCCTCCAGATCATCACCTACATGAAGACTGGCAGAGACAGGCTCTATCTCAATCTGCGCAAACCCTGCATCAACCAGCAAACCCTGCAAATAGTCTTTGTCCGCAAAAGCAAATGGTCCCGGGGCTTTTGGATCCACGGGTTCCGCTGGCGTCAGGAAAGGCTGTATCGCGCGTCCGGCAATGGTAATCCACGGGTTGACCTGAGCAGCCTGCCAGCACATGAACACCATCCGTCCATCTGCAGACAATCCGCTGTGCAGGTTTTTGAACGCAGCCAGCGGGTCGGCAAAAAACATCACCCCAAAGCGGGAAAACATCAGTTGATGGTCCGGAGTCAGCTCTGCTACTGCCGCATCGGCTTCACTGAAAACAAGATTGTCCACGCCTTTTGCACGCTCACGGGCACGGGCCAACATTGGCGCGCTGATGTCGACACCCCAAACCTGCGCGCCCGTGGCAGCCAGAGCAAGACTGGTTGCACCGCATCCGCACCCTACATCGATAACACGTTCACCCGCTTTAGCTGCCGCCGCAGACACGGCAATATCAGACAAGGGCTGCAGCATGTTGTCCAACCGTTCCTGCCCACGAGCCCAGGTATCGCCAGCCTGGCCATTCCAGTATTTGATCTGTTCGCTGTTATCGGTCACTTGTTTGCTCCTGATGGTATCTTGGGATCTCTGTCAGATAGAGAAGATGTTCATTACATATTGTGTTGACGTCTGTACCAGTCGAGGTACGTACCCATGTGTTTGCGAAAAGCCGGCGCTTCACTCAAGGTCAGCATGTGCGCCAGCGCAGCTGGGTACTTCTGTAATGCCTGTGCACTTATCAACGCAAACCCGGCCTGCTCAAGTGCGTCGCTGTAGTGTGCTTCACGCAAAAACTGCGCGAGGTCGCATACGAAGGCGATGTCGGCTATCGAAAGATTATCCTCGGCCAGGTGAGACGTGTGTTGCAGCGCATTCTCAACACCCTGCAGATAAAAATCGTACGCTGAGGTCATCCGCGCATGGGTTTCGGGCTGCATAGCCGACATTGCCAGCAGATAAACCTGCGCTTCCCGGGAAAACACCAGACTGGCATCGAGAAAACTGTCCACACGGGAAGCACTGTAACCATCGACCCCGTAGAGGCCGTGTGGCTGTTCGGACTGACGCACAACGGCGCGCAAAATACTGTTGGATTCAAAAATCCCGATCGCACCACCTGGACTGAAGGCGCACGGCACCGTGCCGAAAGGCTGGCTGGCAAGGAAAGCATCTGTCTTATACAACGTTCCGGTAAAGCCGCGCTGGCTGGCGCGAGCATAGGGACTATCTGCTGACTGTTCAGCCGCAGACAGTTCACGTGCATCATAGTCCCAGAGCCATCGCCCAAGATTGACCGGTTTGTCACCCACCACTTCTAGCGAAACACCACAAAGCTCTGCCGCAATCAGCGCTTTAAACACACGCGGGTTGGGCAGATAAGAAAAGATTCGCAGTGAAGCCAAAACGCAATGCCGCTACAGAAGACGTTCAGTCAGCAGATCCAGGAAGGCGTCTTTATCGACCCAGTCAGTGGCACACTGTGTTTCCTCACCTGCCTCATCGATCAGTGTTTTACCGTCATTGGTGATGACTATCGGCAACGTTTCCATATGCAGATATGCACGACTGAAGGCCAGATAAACGGCCACACAGTCATATAAAACCGAAGACTGCGCCTGAATGTCGAGTTCCTTTAGCACCGGCCATTCTTTCACCGCTTCAAACCAGCCGGCGTGGTTGTCCATCACCGCTTTTGTCAGCGGCTTATCGCTGTCTCTGATGCGCGCAAAGCGGTCACCCTGCAGGATTACCGTGCCACAGGTATCCAGGGGCGTGATGATTTTTTCCCACTTCGCCTTGAACACCGCCTGACAGGCCAGCGCGTGCTGTTTAACGTTGTACTCTCGCATGGGTTTGTCAGCCCCCATGTAGCCACGACGAAGCGAACCGTGCATACCGATAAATCGGGCGCTTGTTGCCAGATCAGGTTCACGAGCAAGTGCGGCGGCTACATTGGGTAACGGTCCAATACAGATCAATGAAACTATTTCAGGGGTGCCCATGATGGTTTCACACATGGCGCCGACGCCATCACGTAATACATCGCCTGCGTAATCTGACAGGGAAAAGTCGCCTAACCAGGCGGCATGGGTCTTAGGTGAGTCATCCAGAGGGATGCCAACACCAATGGGAATATCTTCACGTCCGGCGATCTGCAATAGTTTGGCGACTATCTTTGCGCGATAACCTGTATCGCCGGTAGCTGTCGTAATCAGCTTGATATCAAGTTCAGGGCAGTTCAACAGGAATGCCAGCGCCCACACATCATCGACGTCTAATCCGATATCGGTATCGAGTACCACGGGAATTCGTTCTGCTACATCAGCCACATTCAGCCCCCCTTTTCATGCCTGAGTGTACTCATGCATCAGCCACGGGTAAACGAAACATCTGCCGTTCAGGTGCGCCCCGCGCAGAGCGCGGTACCCGACCCTACAGGGACTACAATTCCTGTATTAACTGCGAAAGGCGCTGCGTAGATAACTTGAGTTGAGCAAGCTGATCATCTTCTGGAACCATGGTGAGTTGGCCTTCCAACGCAAGGTGAGCATACCCGTGTACATGGCACCATCCTAAAACAATATCGTTCACCAGCGCCGGCGGTTTTTCAGCAATAACGTCCTGCACAGCGATGGGTGCATCCCCTCGCTGACGAAGAATCACGTTGGTCAGTTCAGCAAAAGTCTGCAGCACTGCATCAGGTGGATTATCCATATCAAAGCCGATCAGATCAGAGCGGAACATAATGCGGAAATGTTCCGGATAGGTCTGAGCAAATTCAACATAAGCTTTGGCAGTGGCAAACATCTGCGTTTCCAGCTGCGCACCGGCCAGAGATAGTTCCATACGCAAGCGCTCAACTAAACGCTGAAAGCCACGCTCTGCCAACGCGCGCAACAGCCCGCGCACGTCACCAAAATGATGTTTAGGTGCGGTGTGCGAGACACCTGCCGCGCGAGCGCAAGCGCGCAATGTGAAACCCTGCAAACCCTGTGTTTGCAGAACTTTGTCAGCAGCATCAAGCAGTGCGTTGCGCAGGTCTCCATGATGATAGGCGGTTTTAGCAGTCAACGGGCTGGCTTCAATCCATACATTCCGGCAGATACTAACCGGGATACCAGCGGACAGCGAATCTTTACAGCGGAAAGTTAGGTGCCCGCGAAACGTTGCACAGCAGCGACTGTGGTATAAATCAGGATAAGGAGATAGAACAATGATGAAAAGCATAGCTGGTACTTTCTTCCGCGGTTTAACAGGTGTGTTACCCATCGCCCTGACACTGTGGCTAACCGTCTGGGTGATCACCACAACCGAGGGGCTCCTGCGCAAACTGTTTGTCTATATCCTGCCGGACAATTTTTATTTCCCGGGCCTGGGTATTCTGTTTGCCCTGGGGCTGATTTTTGTCACCGGCCTGCTGATGCAGATGTTTGTGTTCAAGAAACTGTGGGAGTGGTTCGAAGCGTGGCTTGAACGCGTGCCTCTGGTGAAGACCGTGTACCAATCTGTTAATGATTTTTTTGGGTTTTTCTCTTCCAATGTGTCAGAAAGCGCATCGAAAGTTGCCTGTATCGACCTGGGTAATGGCGCACAGCTGGTGGGTTTTATTACAGACGAAAGCCTGGAGGCGTTTGCCGACGTTGGGCGGGATCGTGTGGCTGTTTACGTGCCCATGAGCTATCAGATTGGTGGCTATACGCTGCTGGTACGCAAAGCTGAGGTCGAGATTCTGGATATTCCTGTTGAACAGGCTATGCGGTTTGTGCTCACGGCGGGCATCCGACGTCAACAACCCTCCGGCTGAAACAGGTTGCCCGGCCACCTCGGTAATTCCACGTATTGTCTGAACACTGCAAATCCACAAGGCTAATGGTTCCCGGACACCAGGATTCAGTCATGCGCATGTTCATCTTTCTCAGCGTTCTTACGCTTGCACCGTCGGCGTGGGCGGCTGAATCTTATGAATTACCTGTCAGTATCAATGAGGTCATGGTCGCGTTGATCAATGATGCTGCCGATCCGATCTGGGTTGCGGCATGGCACACACCAGAAACAGACGCCGAATGGCGCTTGCTTGAACACCGGGCAACTCAGCTGCAACTTGGCGGCACGCTGATCGCTTATCCTGGTACCGGCGGGTTAGACCACAAGTGGACTGCCAAGCCACCCTGGCGAGCATGGGCAACTCAACTGAGCGATGCCAGCGCAGAGGCACTTGCCGCAATAAAGGCTCGAAATATTGAGGCCATCAGCACCGCCGGAGATCGGATTGTTGAAACCTGTGAAGGTTGTCATCAGGCATTCAAGATGGATTTTCCAACTGGTGGTCAGTACGGTGAGCTTTCGCCGAACGCCGCAGATCTAGAGGATTGAGCGTCGAGCAAGACTCAGCGGATATCCTTCCAGGCCGCACTACGATAACCTGAAGCAGACATGACGTCGCAGATAAACGAATTTGGTCAACCCATCGGTTCTGCCCTGCCAGACTGGCAGGGTGCATTGATGCCGCCTGAAACCAAAATGATCGGTCATCACTGCCGCGTAGAGCCGCTAATCCCGGCATTACATGGCGCAGATCTGTTCCACGCATTCAGCGCAGACATAGAAGGTAAATTGTGGACCTATATGGCATCCGGTCCATTCCGCTCAGAGGACCAGTTCATGGCGTGGATAGAGACAGCTGCCGGTAATCAGGACTCGCTCTTCCATGCCATTGTCGACAATACAACTGAACAAGCGCTGGGGTTGTGTGCGTTTCTGCGGATAAAACCAGCTGTTGGGGTCATCGAAGTTGGCAACATCACCTTTGCACCGGCACTCCAGCAAACCGTTATGGCAACGGAAGCCATGTTCCTCATGATGAGCAGAGTTTTTGACGAACTGGGCTACCGTCGCTATGAATGGAAATGTGACGCTCTAAATGAGGCATCGCGGAGAGCTGCAACAAGGCTGGGCTTTACGTATGAAGGTACCTTTGCCCAAGCGCTGGTATATAAAAACAGAAATCGAGACACCGCCTGGTTTGCCATGCTCGACAGCCAGTGGCCGCAACTTAAGCGTGCTTATCTGCAATGGTTAAACCCCGCCAACTTCAACGCCACCGGCATCCAGAAACAGACATTGAGCAGCCTGCTCAACGCATCGGCACAGCAGAACTAGACTCAAATGTTAGCTGGGCGCCATCACCCGCTCAAGGAACCCATCGATATCTACATCGTTATCCAGCAGAGCGCAAACCGTATCTACAAACGGGGCTGAGAGACCTGCTGATGCAAACAGTTCCTTAAACATACGCGCCGCACGCACGCCTTCACTGACCATCACCATATCAGCCTCTGCCTCAGCCAGACTCTGACCACGCCCCAATCGCTCGCCCATCTCGCGATTTCTGCCAAATGGGGAAGTTGCAGTCACAAACAGATCTCCAATGCCCGCGGCGCTTAAAGCAGTGGCAGGGGAGGCGCCCATCTCTGGCAACAACAGCGAAGCTTCGCGATAGCCGGCGGTAAATACGGCAGCTTTCAGGTTGTCACCACCGCGCCCATCTTCTTTTAAACCATCAACAACCCCACACGCGAGTGCAATAACATTCTTAAAAGCACCCCAGTATTCGGCGCCTAAAGGATCATCTGCCGCCGCCAGACTTAAGCTCTGGGTGCTGAGAATTTTTGCCATCGACGTCGCCAGAGCAACATCGTTACATGCCACCAGTGCTGTGGTATAGACACCGCGAGCCAATTCTGGCGCTATGGTTGGCCCCATCATCACGCAGAGCTGATTATCAAGATTTTGCGCTTTGAGTTTCTCCTCGATCACATTTGAAATAAGCTGATCACCTGGCGCAAGCCCTTTAGCCAGATCCAACAATATCTGTCCGGGGCGAAGGTGCGGCAATACATCGTCAACCACTTTCAATACAACATGACTGGGCAGCGCCAGCACAACTATCTCAGCACCCTGCATAGACGTGGCTATATCCATAGAAACAGATAAGCCTGTCAGCGGCACATCCGCCAGGTACTTTTCATTTATTTCATTGGCATTGATACTGTCGAAGACTTCCTGCTCGACGGTCCAGCCACGCACCTCGTTATTTGCCTGCAACCAGTTACGCGCCAGAGCGGTGCCAAAATTCCCCAATCCTAATACAGCGATAACAGCCATCTATTCCCCCAAAAATTATTAGCCCGCAGGCTCCAGCTCTTCCAGTTTGATCAGCAAACGGACCAGATCCGCCAGCGAACGTGAACTGGTTTTCTGCATCACATTGCTGCGATGAATCTCAACGGTGCGTTCACTGATACCCAGCTCAATAGCTATTACCTTATTTGCCTGACCTTTCGCAACACGCTGGAAGACCTCCAGCTCACGCGGCGTCAGATCAGCAATGCGCTCTTTCAGCTGCACAGAATCTGCTGCCTGGTCGCGGTGTTGTGCATCTCGGGATAAAGCTTCCTGTATGCGATCAAGCAGCTCCTGATCACGGAACGGCTTACGTAAAAAATCCACCGCGCCACGACGCATGGCTTCCACCGCCATCGGAATATCACCATGCCCGGTGATGAAGACAATCGGCAGTTCAATGTTCATAGCTGCAAGCTTTTCCTGTAACTCCAGACCACTCATACCCGGCATGCGGATATCCAGCACCAGGCAATTCACATTATTCAGGTTCGCCTGCTCAAGAAACGTCAGCGCGTCAGGATAGGTGATGTATGGAATATCTACAGTTTCAAGCAACATGCCAATGGCGTCACGCACGGCTTCGTCGTCGTCAACAATAAATACTTTTTCAGTGTCACTCATTCTCTTCTCCGGCGGGTAAACGGAAATAAAACGTAGACCCGTGACCTTCTTCGTTATTAACAAAACTTAAATCACCACCATGCTCGAGCATGATGGAACGACAAATCGACAGACCCATACCCATACCTTCAGCCTTGGTGGTATGGAAGGGACTGAACAGCATGGGTTTATTTTCCTCACTGACACCAGTACCGAGGTCTTTCACCGCGACTTCAGCCTGTGTGCCTACCATCCGTGTTGAAACCAGCACATCGCGTCCGTGCACGCAGTCTACTTCAAGCATGGCATCAATGCCGTTGCGTATAAGGTTGAGCGCTACCTGTTGAATCTGTACGGGATCACAGTATAACGCCGGCAGATCCGGTTGCAGGTCAAAGTTGAGCTCAACACTATGCAAACGCGCATCTGCAGCGGCCAGATGCAGCAGGTCACGCATCAACTCATTGAGGTCAACCAGCTCTTTCTGGCTGCCCTCATTGCGCACAAAACGCTGAATCCGTTCAATAACGGCACCAGCACGTAAAGACTGGGTATTCAGTTTGCGCAGTCCGTCAGACACCCTGGAAAGGTCGGGCTCATCTTTTTCTAACAGCTTCATACACGCTTGTGCATAAGCGGCAATGGCCGTCAGCGGCTGGTTGATTTCATGGGCGATACTGGCTGTCATTTCGCCCATTGTGCTCAATCGACCCACACGCGCTAAACGTTCACGCTGCTCAAGCAATGCCTGCTGATTGGCTTTCTGCTCGGTTAAATCGCGGATGATGCCCGCGAAGTAGGAACCCTGGTCTGTTTTAATTTCATTGACCGCAAGGTAGATGGGGAAAATCTCACCGTCATGAGTCACCGCGGTGAGTTCGCGTCCGATGCCAATGATTTGCGCTTTGCGCGTACTCAAAAAATGTTCTATGTAACTTTGATGCAGAGCTTTATGCGGCTCCGGCATCAGCTTTGTGACAGGCTGACCCACCAATTGTGTACTGGTATAACCAAACAGGGTCAACGTTGCTGCGTTGACCGACTGAATGATGCCATCCGCGTCAATCGTAATGATGGCATCGACAACGGAATCCAGCACGTTGAGCGCATTATCGCGCAGCCATTGTTGAGTATCCGCGGTGATCAAATTGCCTGATTTCCTAAGCTGCTAGAGGCGCCCAATATATAGGAAATCTGACCCGAGCAGGCACCTGTTGCTATGGATTAACGGCCTATATACTCAGCCTGCGGCCGGAAGATCCGGTTATCTTTACGACTTTCAATGAAGTGGGCGACATAGCCAAACGAGCGCGCCATCGCAAAAGCGGCAGTAAAGAAATGATTCGGCAGACCAACAACGCGTAAAACCAGGCCCTTGTAAAACTCAACATTAGCATGCAGGGCTTTACCCCGTTCGGCCATGGCTGCTGCAAATTGCGTATCGATCTCCCGCAGTACGTGATACACCGGCTCATGTTCGCTGCCGATTGCAAGCTTCTCTACCCAGGCTTGCAGACATACCGCGCGTGGGTCCACTGCGCGATATTCGCGATGGCCCATACCAGGCACTTTTTCACCTGCGGCCAATGCTTTGGCCACATAGTCACGCGCAGCAGCGACCGACGCTAACGTGTCAGCTATTTCTAAAACGGCCTGATCCGCACCACCATGCAAGGGTCCGGACAAGGCACCGATACCCGCTGCAATGCTCGATTCCACCGACGCTTCAGTAGAGGCCACCACCCGCGCCGCAAAGGTGCCTGCATTAAATCCGTGGTCGAGTTGCAGTATCTGAGCGGTGTTGAACGCTTCAACGTGCTCGGTGCTGGCGGTATTACCAATGGCACGCAGAAAAGCTTCCGCATAACCCACAGCAGGGTCCACTTCAATCGCCTTACGGCGCAGATGGGTTGCCACCACTGCGGGTAACTTTGCCGCCACATGCAGGCCCTGGTCGGCCTCTCCGAAGCCCAGATCGTTGCTGCCGGATAACAGCGGCACAATGCCCTGCAGGAGCTTCATAGGGTGCATCTGCGCAGGCACCTGCAATACAAAGTCAGTCTCTGCGGACGTCAGGTTCATCGATGGTTGTAACAGCTGATGTAAGGAGTCGTCCATTTCACCGCTCACAACCAGATTGGCAACCTGAAAGAACGGGCGATCTACCAGGGTTTCTATGGCATGACCGCGATAACTCAGAGCGCCTTGCGCCTGTACGTTGGAAATCTCTGTCGTGTCCACCACAACACCCGCCAGACCTTTTGCTACCTTCGTCATCCGCCTTCTCCAACTGATAAGAGCCCCCAAACTAAGGTGGAACAGGCGGCAGCACCATGGGTATTCGCTTCTAGCACTATCAGTTTTACTTATATAGTCTCCATTTTATAACTATTATTAATACTATTATCACTTCATCTTATAGTTTGTCAGCGAAAAGCAGCGTAAGCTGGATCACTACAACACGGGTTGAAGCCTATGCAGATTGAACGTCATGAGGTTCGGGTATTTGATGCCATCATCGAAACAGGCGGCTTCAGCCGGGCCGCTGAACGGCTGAACCTGTCCCAGTCTGCCGTCAGTCAGACCAT